AAATTGCGGTGGACAGAAGCCGATAGAGGCTGGACGTCTCCCAGCGCGAGTTCCATGCGCTCCAATCGCAGGCTGGATTGGGCTGGATGCTGCGGTGACTGGGTGTGTGCATGTGGTGAGAGCCAGGTGGGTGGCAAGGACTCCTCCATCGAGTTGTTGCAGTCCCAACTGCAAGACTCCAAGGAGCCCGGCTTCTCTTGAATTGCCTCCCTACTCGGAAAGCAGAAGTGACAGCTGTGACAGGTTGCTGTACTGTTGCTATGGAGACTTTCTGCGAGTCGAGATTTGGCCAGGAGCTGGTCCGAATCTACCGCTTGCGTGGAGACGATCTGGAAACAGACCTCAAGCCAGGATCTTACTTTAAAGCTTTTCTTTCGACGTCCAACGTGGTTTGTTTCAGCCGGTTTGAATTCTGAGAACTGCTTGGTTTCCTTCCGACGAAACACAATCAGTGCCAAGGGCTTCGCAGCAGCGCGTCTCTGAATCTCAAGATCGCGAGTATTTGCACAAAGTGGAATGCGACAGGCCTTGGTTTTGCTGGACTCCTGACCCCCCGCCCAGTTGCATCTTGGCAGGCTCAAGGAAAAGCTGGTAAAGGAGCAGGATCGGAGAGTGAGAAAATGCATCAGTCGAGCCTTCAAGCCGGGTGGCACAGGCCGTGGTTTCCGACCTTTCTGAGAAAGTCGAGTTAATGTCATCACAAATACAAGAAAGCCAAGCTGCGTGCGCCGTCAGTGATTTGTTCTACACACCGTGGATGGAACTAACGCATGCGAACAAATTCCGAGCCCATTTGCTGCAGATCAGAGGTACGTAAATGCGGTCCAGAGAGAGGAGGTGCTCAAGGAGCAAGTAAGCAGGTGTTGGGCTTGGCTGACGTATCTCAGTCACTTCCACAGTAGCGCCGCGTTGGAGGTTCGAGGAGAAGCTGCAGGCTGGGTGGCGGAATATTCGCTGGATCTCGCCCGCTGTCCTCGTTTCTCCTAGACGGAACCCGTGTCCGTAGCAATGAGGAGGGAACAGCTGGAACTTAGTGGAAAGAGTTTGTGTAGCTTTTCAAAGGCTGAGGCCGTCTATCACTCTAAGACTCTTGTAAACGATCGCTAAGACTCTTACTACAGATCTATCGATTCTTGATCCGGAATATGATCGAGGATGCCACGGAACGTGGCGACGTTCTGGAGAAAGGTCCAGGGCTGGGCTTGTTGCTGCAGAAGACAAGCTTTTTCTGGGTTGACAGCAAAGTGTCAGGCTTGAAGCACGTAGAAGGAGAACGTGAGGTGGGGGACGACCGGTTGCACGGTCACAGCCGGAACATCGGGCCAGGGTACGTTTGGCAAGCAGATGCGCAGGTCTACAAGGGACAAACCCACGTTCTGTGGCTTGGCAGCATGTTTATTGGACCGCACCTTCACGGTCTTCGTACTCGGCGGGGGACGCTGTATGCCGACCCAGTGCATGCTCCGTGCCAGGTTTATGCTTACTGAATTACTGAATGTCAAGACTGAAAGTGCTTGGACTCGAAAAGGCGAGAAGACCTCCTCGATAAGCAGACAAAGCTCCGTTCTCAGGAGGTCGGGCAGTTGGGTGATCTCACGGTCGCGAAAGAAGCTAAAGAACTGATGCTGTTTCCGAATCACGAGCATAGCGCGAATTTCTGTCTCTTCTTCTGTGCGCAGGGTGGATTTGAAAGTCACAACCGCAAAGACACCCTCGTTGTACTTCTTGAAACTCTTTTGCCAGTCCAGAGCCTTTGGGACAGACTCCTCTCACACGTCTGTCCGCATTAATGGTTGTGCATGCATGGATGTTTTCATGAATGGTTATGCCTCCCACATGATCCATGCATGCCCCTTCGTCAGGTACTGCTTGCATGTGCGGATACTACATTAAATGACCGTAGCCTCTTCTGTTGCCGATTCTGTTGAGCTACTTCTCTTCGCAGTGGTTCGTCCATGTCTGACTTCCGACTCAGTTCAGGAACATGCCCCTGCCACTAATCGCAGCACTGAGGAGGCTCCAGGCCCTGAGGTGCTGCACCGTCCCAAATCTAAGTTTTGGGGGCGCCGCACTGTTTTTGGTTCTTCGATCGGCAATACGGGATCAGTGCCTTCCTGACGAGGTCAAACCTTTGGAGACACTCTGAACATTGAGATGTGCATACACTCCTCGTCTAGACGATGTTTAACCTTGCTCATGTGGCATTGTGTGTCGGCAAAGGCGACTCTGGAGGCTGTAGGGCCTGCTTCATGTCTTTAGAAGGGTGTCTGAACAGCTTCGCCAACCGGCGCCAAGCTTCCGTTGCACTTTGTGAGGCCGTAAGGCACGAGCCTGTCGGGCAAGAGTTTTGGATTGTCCAGCCCAGGCTCCGCAGCACGAACAAGGACCTTACCATGACTGTGCTAGCCTCAAGCTTTTTTCGCTTGTTTGCAGAAGGAATCGCTCGATGCCATGTAGCAGCACCATGCAGAACCTTTCACAAGGCAGTTGACCTCGAGAGTCTCAAGGCGTGCGGACACAAGGAGTGAGCACATGTACAGCTTCCTGAGAAACAACCGCTGTGAGGAATCCCATGAAGGAATGGCAGAGGACCTCAAGAAGCTGGCTCCCCTGCGTTTCTTGCAAGCTCGTTCCAACACTCCCGCTGTCTTTTGGATGCTCCGAGTTGTTAAGGTCGAAGAAGCAATATGCCGAAGCCGCCCTGCGTGTAGAAAGCCTTGAGAAGGCACAGCCTGAAGCACTTCGTAGTTCCCTGAGTCATAGATTTCTACGCGTGGCATGTCAAAATGTCGAAGTTCCTTTGCCGTCGACACAAGTGCATCCGCATGAAGGAGTGTCAAGAGGCCAAAGCCCAGTTAGAGATCAAGGAGAGGCAAGCTGCTGGGCAACTCAGACTCCAAGTCTCCTCCACGTGAGCTATGCGACGAGCCAGCCGAGGCCAGGCTCGAAGTGGTTGTGGACGAGCTGAACGTGAAGCGTGGAACTGAATGCTGCATCCAGAAGCTGCAAGCAGAGGAGCTGCTCTGCTCCTTTGCTCTGGTCGTGCCTGAGGCTTGAGGATGCAATACTGGAGTACACCGAGGAAAGGAAGCAAGCAAAGGATTATGCTACTCGGCCTGCACATGATCAGCAGAGTCTGCAGCCAGCTTCCAGAGCGGAGTGGACGCAAAGGCTGAGAAGCTCCACAGCAAAGACTCCCAGGTCAAGAAGATAGCAACAGAGGTGTGCCAGACGTTTGTCGGGTATTTTCGTAGAAAGGAGAATGTTGCTGGCAGGCGACCTTCTCCAAGGATTCAGTTCAGCGGCTCTGCGGTGACATCAAGCAGTTCCAGGAGACGAGGGAAACTGGTCAGCAGTGGGGCGAACCGGCAGTCCTCAGGACAGAGAAGCACAGCTCAAAGACCAGATAAAAAGCCTAGAAGGCACCGTGTCGGACGGACCTTGAAGTTGGGGTGCAATGTGTAAGCTGCTTGGAGCCGCTGTTACCGTGGGCCGTAGGCACGTCAAGATCGAGACCATTTGCTTACAGGTGAAATCGAGAAGTGGAAGCAGCGACTTGAAGTTTCTCAGGGGGAGGCGAACTGTCAGGGTCCAGTTAAGCCTGCAGAGCCCGCTGCAATTTGTAGGTTTCCGAGTTGAAGGATGTCAACTGGCGAATCGCAGAGGCCCCGTCCCGAACATGCCATCAGGGGTATTCTGAGCGATTTTGGATGAAGGACCTGCAAAAGTCCAAAGTGAGCCTCAGGGAGGTGGAGGTCTCGCAAGCCACTGCAGTGTTTCACCTCTCCGTAGCTTTGCGCCTTTCGACGAGGCCATGGTCAAGAAAACGACCACCGAACTGAAATCTGGGAAAGGTCGCATGGTCGAAGCGGAGGACCCTCCCAATTACACCTCCGTCGTCACAGTGTTCCATGTGCAGCAATCAGGCAAGGAATATCGAGTTAAGCGCAAATGTGACGAAGCTGATGGAGGCGTTGTCCAAGCAGTGTTCTTGTATGGCAACACAAAGGGGTGAGGCAATGACGCTGTGACATGGTCCCCAAAACCTCCTTGCAACAGGCCTTGGTGCAAGCCGAGGCACGAGAGAAGGAGGCCAGGTACAATTCTGTTTGAGTGCTTCAGCAGTGTGCTTCGATCAGCAAACTTGACGCATCTCCGTCCGGTGCACCCATGAGGCTTTAGAGCTGCTTGCCGAAGGCAAAGGTCCGAATCCCGCAGTGAGGTGTGATGGTGTGTGAGTCGGCAAATCTGTCGAGTTGCAGGACCAGAGAAGGAACGAAAGAAGAAAAAGATGCAAAGGTCAAGGACAACTGCCAGTATGGAAGGCAAGATCTTGCAGAATCCTTCTCAAAACCAGGGATGGTCGAGCAATTTAAGGCTGCTGCAATCATGTTGGCACAGCAGTACTCGAAGGTGGCCGGACGGCTGTGAGCTGATGGCCGGCAGTTTGTCCGCAACAGCCAAATAGCGAAGTGTTGATTTGTTCGTCCGCTGGCGCAGTAGTAGTAGGCTGGATCACATGCCTTGCACTGCCAGTCATCCAGCCTGGATAGGCTGCTGCAGATCTCGTAGGTACGGCAGAAGCTGGAAAACTGTGGATAGAATTTGGAGACCTGCTACCGCAAATGTGGAGCAAGGACATGACTTAGTGTGGGCCCTGTGTTGGCAGATCTGGCCCTGGATCTGGCAAAGAGGGCCAGTCGGAGTCACCGAAAAGGACTCCTAAGGGTTCAGAGGGCCAGTCGCGTGGCAGAGCATCCGGGGAGCAATGTTCGACGCAATAACGAGAGTTAACGAGGTCTTTGGTTTCAGTCTCAGTAAGAACATAAGAAAGGACCAGTATCACCAGGTCCCTTCATCTGTGTTGATAACACCCGACAGCTTCGTAGGATGCTCGCCAGGGGCAGCTTGGCAGCCCAACTTGCACGTTGTTGACCTGTTGAAAATCCGCGTCGCGAGCAGCTCGCCAGCCCGCACAGCCTGCTTTGCTGCGGGAGCAGGTCCTCCAACGGCTTTACCCAGCCGTGTCGGAGTCGCCATTGCTTTTGCCTCGGAGATCACGCCTCGCCGCGGGTATCTGCATGTACTGGTATCCACGTGTGGAAACTCTTAGGCCGGAGTTCGCGCCGCACCCGGAGGCACTGCAGCACGACACATAAAGCATGAATCATTCCAGCTTCACAATGGTTCTCCTTCGTTTCTTTCGGTACTCCATGTCTGCTCTGCCTGCGTGCAGAGAGTACACACGGTCAGGCCTTCAACGACATGTCGGTAATGACCTTTCCTCTGAGCTTGCTACAAGCGATGACGGCTGGGCCGGGCAGCTCACATGGAAAATGGAGCAGAGAGCAGCAGTAGAGGAGGCCTGCAGACGAACAAACATGCTGCTCCGAATCCTGTCCTGCTGCATCGTTGGCCCCGCCGGTAGATATGCGGAACAGAAAGACACGCCATGACTGTGACTACGTCCTCCGGATTCTGCTTCTAAGCGTCATCCAGGGACCACAAAAGTCGCAACCATGGACAAGACTCCTGTCGCATCGAAGCCACGCATAAGCGATCGTTGCAGGGCTCGTTGCAGCCACGCGAGAGAAACTTCATCTCGTCACCTCAAAGCAGCGAAAACAGTACAGTAAGTGCTAGTGACTTAGTGCTAAGCTTAAGCTCCGTTGGCGGCCGGTTCGGCCTCGGAGCACGGCTCAGCCGTGGATGGGACGTTCCCGCCATGCCCGGAGCAAAGACGTAGAGCCGTACAACGACAGATCTTCCAGAGTTTAAAAACTCAGCTTTGGACATTCCCAGGCTGCAGCGCTTCTCCTGCAAGGCCCTGCAGCTTCGCCCTGAGAGTTTGTTGGCGCAAGCACACGTCCTCATGCTGGAAGCCTGGCTCACAACAAGGATAGAAGATTTTGTACAAGCTGATGGCTCCCATGGCTGATGGCAAGCGCATCCGCTCACGCGGCACTGCCTTGGCGCTGTTGATCCTGGCTGCCGTCGCCGCTGTCGCCTTCGAGGCCTTCCAAGTGAGCTTCAGTGTCCCGCAGACGACGCGGGCCCCAGGATTTGGAGCCAGCGGGCGCCATGGGCGCCTCGAAGGCCAGGCCCGGTCGGTGACAGTAGCTGCCTCGGAGTCCGAGACGGCAGCGTCCCAAGCCTACTTCACCGGAATCGGCTGGTATCTGATGCACTTCGTCGTAAGCATCTGCAACGACGGCATCATGAAGTTCTTGGGCGAGAACCTCCCTCCTTTCCAGATCGTCTTCTTGCGATTCTCCGCAGCTGCACTCGTCTTGCTGCCAGTGCTGGCGATTCAGGGGAAGAGCGCTTTCAAGTCGGCAAGGCTTTCCATGCACGCTGGACGGGGAGCACTTCTTGCACTCGGCATTGGCTTGTGGTGCTATGGCCTCAGCATCATGCCTTTCGCTTCATGTGTCGTCATCAACAACACCATGCCTTTCTTCAAGATGCTCTTTGCGCAGCTCATTCTGGGGGAGAAGGTTGGCAAGCAGCGATGGCTTGCAAGCCTTGCAGGTTTCATAGGCTGCATAATCGTCTTCAATCCCACAGCCGCAACCTTCAAGCCTCAGTCTCTGGTGCTTCTTCTGTCCGCATGCTGCTTTGCCATGCTCGACATCTTCAACAAGAAATACACCGATTCTGAGACTGTGACCTCGATGCTGTTCTATGGCTCCGTGGCCACAGCTGCCATCTCCGCGGTGCGTGCAATTCCAAGCTGGGTCCCCGTCACAGGACCTCAGATGGCCTTGATTGGATGCTTGGGAGTTGGTGCGAACTTCCTGCTTTTCTGCTTGCTCAGGGCCTTCAGGTACGTGGATGCCTCGGCAACCTGCCCGTACCGGTACACAGAGTTTGTGCTCTCTGCCTCTGTTGGATTCTTCCTATTCAAGGAGATGCCATCCAAGTCGACATTCCTCGGCTCCTGCATTATACTGCCATCAGTGATTTACACTGCGCTTGTCGAGAGCAGACAGGCCAGTCAGGAGCAGCAGTCGGAGGACAAAGTGGAGGCTTGAGGGGAAGTGTGAAGACTTCGACGATGTCTATGCGCGATTAATTGCACAACGGACATTCTGTCAGATTCGAACTTGAAGTCGCAAATATTCTGGCCGTGATTAGGCCGACCCTCACGTGAGAACACTCCCGTATTCCTGTCTTCAAGCCGCCGAGTCTCCGGCAAGGTGAATGGTCGTTTCGAGATGTTCCTACACGTTTCACACGAACCCGAGAGCCCGAGAGCCGAAGATGCAAAGAGCCCAAGAAAAGGAGCCCACTTTGAGAGCTCCGAGGGGTGCTTTGAGGGCTTTGAGTAGGGCGCTGCTCGCGTTGATCACGGCTCGCACCGCAGGCCGCCTGCTGGGCCCTTCCCAGGGCGGCCAGGGCCAGGGCGGCCTGGCCGGTGCCGGGGCCCTTTTTTTCGGAACTGCCTAAGCTGCCGGTGCTCATCTCTTCGCTTTGAGTTTGAGCTTTTGGATGACTTGTAGGTTCGAGGTGAGAACCTGGCACATGGACTGTTTTCAAACACGCATTAATTATCACCATCCATGGTTGCTGGCATGTTCGTACTCGCCGTGTCGCTGTGTCTATGACATGTCCACCTGCCCAGACCCAGTCCACAGGGTACTTCTACGGAGTGGACAAAACTGGTACTGTCTTGAGGAATGCCCTCGGGTCCCAGATGGCGTGGTCGCGGTCCTTCGCAGTCGGAGGTGTGGAGCACAAGGTGCGAGATCCGCTGTGTCACACTGGATTGCAAGCCATCTCACCGAGCGACGTAGCGGCATGGAAGGTCCCAGAGCCTCCAATGCTCCAGGACCGGCCTTTCCGCTTGGAAGAAATACCAGGCACAGGGCAACGTGATGCATGGGGCCTAGTAGGCCTAGAGGGCGGCTGCACTGAAGTCGAAGCAGAGGCCGCGGCCTCGGCGCTGTGGCCACGAAGGACCTGCTGCCGCGACCTTGACGGCTCTGAAGCAAAATAACGAAATCTCGCAAGCAAAAGCTTCAAACTGTTCAGCTGCAGGCCGGGCGATGTGGTGCTGCTCGAACGCCCCATCTTGGCGATTCGAAGTGATGAGAAGGGCAGGGAGCCTACAGTACCTTACCGCCTTGTGCTTCCGTAGTTTTCTGCCATTCGCCGACTTAGTTGTTCAAGCATCCCTCGTGCCGACTTCTCGTAGTCATGTGACTCCTCTCAGGCGATGAGTGGAATCACGACCTTCACAGCCAGTGCGCACAAAGTGTGCCTGGTTGTCTGTGCTTCTGACAGCCAAAAGTCTTCCAGGTACAAAGCGCTCTCTGAAGAAGGCCGGGCAGAGGTCGACGAGCTCAGCCGTGAAATTCCGCATGCTCGTTGCTTTCCAGTGCTGTGGCTTTTTTCTTTGGTCACATTTCGTGAGGTGTGGAAGCTTCATGACGCTTGCCTCCAGAAGCCGGAAAAGTGGGCTCGGAAGGAACTCACGGGATCTAAAAAGGTGGCTTAGAGTCCTTGCAGGTCTCTGGAAGGCATTTTGTTCACAAACTGCATCGGCCGAGATCAAAGTGTGAGGCAGGAGGTCGTCACTGAGAGTGATTCGAGATGGATGGGGACAGATGATGGCACAGCAGGTTTGATGCAGCGCTCTGTTTGGCATTGAGTCGTTTCAATCATAGTTGCTGCCCAGCCCCGAGCTGCATCCCATCAGCAGCGGCTTGAGGTAAATCTTGCAGCTTTGGCAAAATAAGTGAGCTTCCTCCGAGGCCCAAATCTCGAGCAGAGCTGGGATGAAGATGCCGGGCATGTTCCTAGCTCAGGTGATGTCCATGTTCTCATGACGTCGCTGAGCCTCACGAAGGTCCGGTTGGTGGCCGCGCAGCCGGTCAAGGCGGGCGAGGAGCTCTTCACGCACTACGCGCCAGCCTTGGCTCTGCGGCCGCTCCACGGCCTTCCGTGCCCTTTCCGCCGCAAGGTGGAGTTGAGGGAGTGCCGTGAGGAGCGGCAACAACGGCTTCAGGAGTCTTACGGCTTCCTGCCGCCGGCCTCAGCAAGGGCTAACAGTGAAGTGCCACTTTGGCCCTGCCATGCTGAGAATGCTCGGAGGTGTTCCAGCACCAACACATGTCCGGTGTGCTCGGGCTCGGTGGAGAGCGATAAACGGCGGTCCGTGTCCAAGCAAACTAGGCAATCCTTGGCAGCCAGGCCGGCATGTTGAGTTTCAGAAGTGACCAGGACCGAAATGGGGCGTGCGAGGCTCAGGAACTCCAAAGACTCTCAAGACATCTGGTAGAACTTCCTGGAACTCGCCTTAGCCCTTCGCCGTCCCCGTAGCTGCCTTTCCTTACAGGAGCACAGGAATAATATACAAACACAAAGCAGGAGCATCGTCAGCCCCTAGCACCACTGTCGACAAAACCGCTCCTCTTCATGCTGCTACTGCTATCTACCACTGCCGCTGCCGTTACCACTGCCCTTGCCCACCACGTCACACTACGACTGCTACCACGGCGCCTACTCCTGTAGCAGTATTATAGCAGGAGCAGGAGCTGGAGCATGGCACCAGAGCCTGAGTGCAGAAAGCGGGTTTTTCGTGCTCCATTGTCCTTTGCGCTGTTTGCGGCGTTGCTCCGAGCCGGCCGGCTATATCTCCAGGTAGCCCCGCCGTCAAGCCTGGAATCTGACCTTTGCCAGGCCGAGACGGCCAAGCGGGCACGATGCCCTTTGCGAGATCTCCCCTCAATTCCCCTCATGTCAGTGCAAAGCTTTCCGCTGTGACTCTGCTGGGCCTTTTCCCTCGACCTAGAGGGCACGAAAGAACCTGGCAGCCTACTGGCTCCTGGGTCCGTATGTGTGATGCGCCAGGCGAAAGGAAGCGGAAACGCTACAACGTCTTCCACTGCTCAGTCCCGTAGCATACCTTGATATATACCTTCTTCAAAATCCGACTGCGGGAGCAATTCTGTTTCATCAATGCCCATTTCTGGGAATTTATTTCTCCGAAGACCGCAAATCACGATTAATTTGGCGTTAAAGTGAGACTGGCTAGCTGGCTGAAAGCCCAGAAGCAGCTTGATGCCGGACCCTGCTGACGGGGAAGAAGGAAGTCCCCCCAAAGCCAAACCAACATGCTTCACTCCACCACGCTTGAATCCAGACTGCTTGAACGGGTCGTCGAGCTGACGTACGCAAAGATCTGTGCGGATGTGCATGAGGTAAAAGCATTGCTCACACTCCTGTTTTCGCATGCCTCGTGAGCTCCACTCGCTTCCTTAGTCGTCACAATTGCCAGACATGCGGATCCGAGGGATGGCATGCATAGGGGTCAAAGCACCTTCTGATACGTTATATTGTCTGGTTCCGGGATTTGGGCAGTGCTTTGAGGCTTGGATGCTAGCATCCGGAAAGATCGGCTGAGCAATCTCGAGCAGAGTGAAAGAGCCGCGGCCTCGGACCCTCTGCATCAAAATGAAAGACACTATGGATTTGCATCTTAGCTTTGAAGCCTGGAATCCATTACGTAGAGGTTGGCACGAGGGCTTGTCGAGAGTCGAGGTGAGCCGGTAGGCTACATGTCCGAAGGAGGGACAGTTGCGGCCATTGTTTTGCACTTCTGTGGCCATTGTTTTTGTTAAGTAGTAGTAGTAGTAGTAGAAGTAGTAGTAGTAGTAGTAGTCGTCGTCGTAGCAGCAGCAGGAGTAGTAGTAGTAGTAGTAGTAGTAGTAGTAGTAGTAGTAGTAGTAGTAGTAGTAGTAGTAGTAGTAGTAGTAGTATTAGTAGTCGTCGTCGTGGTGGTAGTCGTGGTGGAGGAGGAGGAGGCGCATGCAGCCAGATCCTAGGCACGGATTGCATTTGTTGCCGTTTGGGGTTGAGGCGGGGTAGCGGGGTTGGGGCGAAGGGGGGGTGATGACGTTCAGGACACAGGACACATGTCAGAGCTTCAGGGTTGACGAGTATGAGTGCGTGGTAATGCCACGGGCATTGGTACTGGTTATGGTACTGGTTATGATACTAGTGGTACAAAGCATCGACGATCCCGGTCTTTGCCGCGAGACGTCTGCTCGCGCACTGTACCTGACAAGTCCATCTTCTGCCTGCAGTGCAAACCATGGCTGAACGGTATCAGCTCCTTTTGCACGCATGCATCCTTCCGCATCTCTCGATCAGAAAAGCACATCCGAGTCTTTTTTTGCAAATGTAGCCCCGACCTGTCCTCCCTCGAAGAGCCACTGCCACTTTAAGCTAAACGTCGGGCGTTCTTGTGTTCGCCAATACACTTCTTGCCCAAGGGCCAGGCTTCTTGTTTTCAGCAGATGGCACAGACGACGTACTTCAGCACCGGCATGTGTCCTGGCCATGGCAGGCGAATGCATGTGATGCACCTATGAGCCTGCTTCCCCATTTTTTGAGCGAAAATCCAGTTATCGGGTCTTATAATAGGAAGTTGGGGCAACATGCCACTCGTCCTTCTCGCGACAACTGCTGCAAATACCACACGATCCGCTTGCGGTTTTCGCGCCACACATCGGCGCCCGCAGCACGCCGTGCATAGCAGCAGTAGCAGTAGTAGTGGTAGTAGTCGTAGTAGTAGTAGTAGTAGTAGTAGTAGTAGTAGTAGTAGTAGTAGTAGTAGTAGTAGTAGTAGTAGTAGTAGTGGTAGTAGTGCCAGTTGTTGTTGTCGATGTTGTTGATTGTCTACGACTACGACGACGACGACTACTACTACTGCTGCTGCTGCTGCTCCTGCTCCTGCTCCTGCTCCTGCTGCTGCTCCTGCTCCTGCTCCTGCTCCTGCTCCTGCTCCTGCTCCTGCTCCTGCTGCTGCTGTCACTACTACAAGTATTGCTAGCAGCACGAAAACTAGTCGTACTATTACTTCTAGTGCTCGTACTCATACTCACCTTCATAGCAGCATCATAATGTTGATCTCATTGCAAGCTACTAATTACAATGTTCCTAATGCTAGAGCTAATGCCAATGCTAGTGCTACATAGTGCTACTACTTCCGTCAATACTGAATCTTACTAATGTTACCACGGAAGAGGCGTACTTAATTGTCAAACGGCAGGCTTGGGCCATAGCAGCCGCAAGGTAACAAGAAATGAAGCCAACAGCTTGCATTCAGCTGCAGATGGTGAAGAGGCTGCTGAGATTGTACGACCAGGACCGTCTATGCTATGTCTGCCTGAAGTATCCGCGCACTGCCTGCTTGACTCACGGCGAATGTCCTCGGAGGAAGGGCTGGGCTTGTTCAGCTGGCGAAAGCTGACGGGCACTCGGTTCAGGGGCTGTCATTGTGATCTCCGTGTAGGGTTTGCAGGGTTTAGGGTTTACGGAGAACGAGACCGAGGCATTGCCTCTCGGCGATGGAGTTTGCCTTGCGCAGGGGTGCCGCCCCCGGCCACAATTTTGACTCTGAAGACGGCCTCGGCCTCGACCGCCGAGGCGACCTCCCCGTGGCCGTCCAATGGGCGCGCAAGGCGCACGATAACGCAAGGCAGAGCAGGGCCCAGAGAGGGCAGGGCAGCAGGCAGCTGGGAGTGGGCCCTTGCTGTGCTGGAAGGTTGGCCCACGGACCGGATCACCGGGACACGCGCTGGTGTGCCGAGCTGATGAAGGCGACTGGGGAACAGGAGGGAGGTGGTCTCTGTCTTTTGGGAGCTGCAAGGACCCCTCCAGTCATCCTTCCTTTGAGTACCGCAGCCAGAATGCCAGACCGTCAGTGTGCTCGCACATGTTCGTGCGGTTCTGCATTGCTTGGAACCGGCTCTTGCGCAGAGGTCAAGAACTGGGCAGCCTACGCTCTCGCCCTCACGCTTTTCCTGGCTCGGGACCTGGTGCCCTGTAGATGTCTTTTTGTCTGGGTTGTGCAGTTTCTGAAGTTACGAAGCATCCTGACATTGAAAGTTGTGGTCTGGCACCTCGACTGTCTCTCTCTCTCTCTCTCTCTTGTGAGGTTGTCTACACGATCATGTACGACTGACCAGCAAGGAGTCTTTCGGATTTGCACAGTCTGGGTCAATACAATCAACCCCGTTGACCGACCTTCTGGCAAGGATGTCATCGCTGCTCCCTGGTGCTGTTCGCAGATTGCTTGCTTTCCGCCTAAAGTTGGCGCCACGTGCTTCAAAAGTGTGCGAGCATGGCGGCAGGGGAGTGCTCAGGTGTAGCTTCAGTTTCAGTGGCATTATGCCGGGTTAGGTTGAGCAGTCGCGGCCTGTGGGCTGGAGCAGTTCAGGGACGCTTCTGCATTCGCTCGCGGTGCGTCGCCGACTGTAAGTGGACGGCTTTGGACGACTAACCATGCTTCAGTGCGTATGCTGCTGCATGTCATTTTGGTGGAAGGCTTTATGTTAAAAGCTGCCGCAGTCAGAGACGTCGCATGAGTCATGTTGAGAGTTTTTCGGTTTGCTCCGCAAAGTCGCATCAAACAGCTACATGCCTAGGATCTCATCGGTGTGTTTTGAACCGCCTTGTACACAACGGCACACCGCCCATGAATGCGGGAGGATGCCACACATGACATGAACGGTGCTTTTGTACTAGCCAGATTCAGATGTCACTCCATCTCACAGACCAAAGTTTCCGCCGTGCTGAATTTCGATTGGACACGGCTGGACCACGACAGCCTGAGCTGCGGCTCTGGCACATTCGCATGCTGGCGGTAATAGTGAACGGTTTGCTTTTTTGCATCGTTTGCTTTTTTGGCTTGATCATGTAGTTCTTTCCTTTTTGAACGTGAGTATCTACAAGAATTCTAGCAGAGCCAGCATTTCGCTTCATCTTTGCACTATCAATTCTGCATTGCTTTATTTCATCAACTGCATCATCCCTTATATGATTGCAGCCGTATTGGCTTAGAGCGTTTGACAAATATGTGGCTGCTGTAGCCTGAACCCGCAGCACATCTGAATGAGCGATGACAGGCGAAATAATTGTTGCATACGGCATGCGTAGCAGGCCAAGTACAAGGGGCCTATCGTCCAGCGCTTTTCTCAGCACCGGGCATCTTCTCCTCATGTCGGATGCGAAGGCGGGAGCACCTTCCTCAGGGTGATTTGCATGGCTGCAGCTTGCCTCGGACATGCGCTCGGTCTTGTCCGGGAGGCGAAACTCAGGGGTGCAGTTGGAGCTGCTGCAGCCATCGTGCTGATTTCCCGAATCCGAGATGCCGCAGCCGCCAGAAGCGACTCTTCACGTCTCACGCCGTAGTGCGATGATGCAGCTGCACAGCTTCCGAGGCGAAGCACCTTCCTCGCTTGCTGCTGGAGAAGGAGTGGGTGCTGTGCATCGTGGATCGGAAGCGACCGTTGGAGTCTGTGTGGTACTGGCTTTGCCTTGGCAGGGTTCACCTGATCAGAGCTTGCACATCCTGGCATCATCGCTGGCGATTTATGGTGTCGGCCTTGGGTAGCTCGGAGTTTAGCAAGTGCTGTGTAGGCCCGAGGCCGCCTTTTCCCGGTCATGCGAGATTGCTGCGTGCATCAACGCGTCCGTGGGCATTCATTTACTGCAAGAGACTTCAAGCTTGCTAGGCCCGCCTTTCCAAGCGCTGCCTTTATGACTATGTGTCGCATGGGCTTGAATTCCGAACCCAGGCCCTTCCACGAAATACCTCCGTCATATTGACACTCTGGCTCCCTCCTGACCCCCCAACATCTCCATGATTGAGGCTATGAGCGCTTGGTTGCTATGATCTTGCGCCGCCTCGGCATGACGAGGAGGGTGCTGCAATCTTCGCCAGCCTGTGCGTTCTGGGGAGTGGTCGGAGGATGCCCTCAACCCTGGCGGCCATGCTCTCCCTTTTCGCTGCTTTGCGTGGCGCCAGGGCCTCTTTCAGGTCGTAAGATACGAATGGCCACTGCGGTCACTGCGGTTTTCGAGGTCCAGAAGCTGAAGGACCGAGAGACTGCCAACAGGACTGCACTCGAAGCAATGACCTGCAAGAAGAGATGCTTTCCCTTTATGCAAAAGCCAGTTCTTGCTCTCTGTGGAGGCTGGCAGACGTGTTGAAGCCTGGTGTGGACTTCCTCGGCAAGTGGATGGGGCTGTTCCTGGTGCGCCGGTGGCATGAACTTAGAGTCTAGAGAGTGCCATGCATATCAGGCTTTCTGAAGTCAAGTCGCGTTTCAAGCAGTTTGCTTTGCCACCCATTCGATCTGCAGCTGGAAGTGTCAACACCATTTCTCTTGAGGCTCCCCCTCTTGTCTCCCTAGATGCCTCCATCGCACGACTGCCATCCTACAGTGGCCGGCTTACTTTGGCTGTCAGAAGTGCAACGATGAGCTCCTGGCCGAATGCATGAACTATAAGGTGGGGGAGTTTGGGCAAACACATCGTTGTTGCTGGGCCTTGGATGGGGTGCGACGCTGGCCTCTCAGTGTTGGTGCCGGTGCTACCAAAAGGATGTTGGTTGGTCGAACGTGTGCCTCCAAAGGCACAGTGCTGCTGCTGCTGTCGCCTCTTCCCTGGTGCCCCAGTCTGCCAAGCCTACTTGTGCTACATCGTGGGGGGCTCAGGGATCCCACGTGCAAACGTGCCAAGCAGCTGATGAAATTCACGGAAGGTTTCTGAGCCGTTTAGCAGCAAGTTGAGACTGCATGAGGTTGTGCGCAGGGATAGTGCTTGATTGATGCCGATGATAGTCGAACCACGAGGGGGCATCGTGAGACGATAATGTACTGATCCTGTCTGGTTCAGGCTCTTACCAAAAAAGCAGCCGTACTCAAGATGTTCCTGATGCTTGTTCGCACACGCTCAGCTGCTTTGCAGGACGCCTGCCAAGTCCGTGGCGGCACCTGCTAAGCAGGTCGCCAACGGCGACAAGCCGGTAGAGGGCCAAGTTCCGGTCCGTGTGCATGGTTGAGCATCTCTACGCACCACAAGGTCTCTCAGGACGAGGCGGTACGCCGCTCCTGGGTGTTGCTGGGTGCAGCTGGCTTTTTGGGAATGTGGAGGGCTCAGTCGCAGGATTGACCGGTAGCGCGGGTGCCGCCTGGGCCGTCGTGGTCATCTAGGAGCAGCTGCTCAGCACTACTGCTTCAGCCATGATGACTATCATTGAATCTGAAGACTGGACACCGCACACCCAGTGCATAACAGTGACTGCACCATTAGGCCATTAGGGAACTTGGTGGTTTATTAAAACGAAACACTGGCACCCCTGCACATAGGAATCAGGGAGAAGACTTCGAGGGTTGTTGAATAGGAGGACTTCCGCTGAAGTACTGTCGTAGTACAAGGTAGCTCTTCCTTGTCCCGAGATGAGAATGCCAGAAAGACAGAACAGATTCGATTTTGGCTCAGAGGTCGTGTAAGTACACTCTTCAACACGTGCCGGAACATGGCCAAAGTTGTGAGACAACGGGTTCTAAAGGCCGCAGAAATCCTTTGTCCACTCGGCAATGCGGTCAAAGCAGAGGTCTGGTCAGTCTCAGTCTGGTGTGTCTCACAATTCGTACCCTTCTGTCGACCCCCCATTCTGATATCGGACGATACATGACGATGCTGTCGCCAAGGTGGCAAACGCCCTGTGCTCACTTCACGTTCTAATTCTAGTATACAGTATACTCAGTGGTTGTTACTTTACAGGTGTCCGAATGAAGCGGAAAAAGGGTGAGAGAAGGTGAAGCACTCAAGCGGTCATGGCTCGGCCCGACCTGGCTTCTCGCCAGAGTGCCTTTCCACCACAAACTCCGAAACATACAAACAGAATAGAAGCTCTTGAAAGGCTGGGGGAATCAGTCACAGGGACGGACCCGCCTGGCTTTGGTCGCTGAAAGTTGCTGCCTGAGGGCTTGTTCTCCGGCTCTGCCGTTGGTGATGCATCGGCCACTTGGGTGCCGCCCTTCACGCTTCCACGCTTTTTAGCTTGCGAATCTGCAAATGAGAGATGTGCCGATGCCTTCCGCCAGGATGCTCTGCGAGATGAGCACCACGGTTTCTTCCTTCGCTTTGGCGAAGCTCCTGCCGGACGCCGTGCAGGACCTCTGCTAGTGTAGAAGCTGGGACATGTCCCTTGGCATCTTGCTACGCTGCTCAGCGCGTGCTCCACCCCTTGGTGATCTGCGCAGTGTCCTCCAATCTGGCGCCAGACTGGCATGTTTTTGACGACTCCTTCCCACGGCCGAGATCACGACCTCTGAACTGCACGGTGCCAGATCACGATTCGTGGGCCCGACGGCACCTTATTTCGATGAAGGTCGCGGAGCAATTGCCTCAGGCTGTGGTTCTGCGCGAATGCGGCTGTCCTGACAATTGCTTCGAGGTTGGAGACAAGCTTTTCCAGTGGCTTCCCGCGGCTGTCACGGGCGAACGCCTCAGATTCCTACAGCCAGAGCTTTTGGGTGTGGCCACATGGCATCCAGTTTCAGCCGCTGAAGCAGAAGGCCTCGCTTAAGAGCCATCAAGGACTCAAGCGGTGCCATCCTGACTGAGGAATCTCACATCGTCTTCGTTCGGAATTGCTGTCCGTTGCCTCTCGTAGCTCCGTTAAGTTTTGTAAGACATCAGAGGTACAAGTAGCTACCGAGGATGTCTTCTAACGGCTTCGGAAGCGGAGACTGTTTGAATTGCGGTTATGCGAGGTCTTGGCGTGAGAATGTACTCCACCACCCCTCTTTGGCTGGACAACGCAGAGGATTTCAAGTGTGTGCCATGGCTGCAGCTTCGAGAACCAGGGCCAGTGCAGTCCCAGAAGGCTGCTAACAACTCCAGGGTTCCGGGTGTGAATCGTCGCTGCCAGGTGTTGGCCACGTGCTCGGCATCCGGCTGCCACTCGGCAGAGTCGACTCAAACTTGATTTCCTGGGAGCTTAGCGGCCCGACATCGGAGGCTTCTCCATTTTGCTCTCGACGATTGCTGCGGTAAACCAGAAGTCCCCACTCGCCGTGCCACCTCCGGTCGGCGCCCCACCGTGCACAGCACGTCACGGTCCCTCTGTACCTCTGCAGCTGTAGAAGAGCTCTGCCTGGCACCACTCAGCTCTCGCTTCCGCTGCTCCACCGCTCGGTGATGTCGGCTTTGGGAATCGAGGGTTCTCAGGCCAGGCGAGGGACGGCGTGTCAGCCACTGCTCTGCGCGATGTGTCCCTCGGAGGCCATCGGCCCGGAGTGTGATCCCAAACTAGCAGTGGCTTCCATTCTCATCACAGGGTCGAGGCCTCTGCGGTGTCCTTAATGCAATGCTCTCTGCCTGCAAACTAAGATGCATCGGTGCTTCTCTGGGAAACGCATTGCTGGAAGCGTTTCCAGCAATCTTCAAGTCGTGCTTCCGGCAAGTTTTCGGAAGGCAAATGGAGGCAACTGCAAGCCAGAAGAGTGAAAGTGACGAGAGGTCCTCGCCATTGGTTCGCGGTGTCGCTATGGGTTGCTCTGCACACTCCATCGGCACAGCTGGGCTGATCTCCCTTGGGGACCGAGTTCGCAGTTCGCAGCCAATGTGGACTTTCGGAAAGGTTTGTAGCGAGACCACAGCTTGAGGACACAGACGCAGCTGCGATTTCTGGAGCCTCGATGCCCGGACCTTGTTGACTCGCTATGCTGCTGCACTTCGAGGTGTCCACGCAACTCATGCTCATTGCTCAGACAAGATCCTTCTCGTCAATTCTGGCTTCGAGGTGCCTGGCTGGTACGATGCACACGCTGGCCGACTCTTCAGTGATGCAGCGGCAGCTGCACCATTCTGCGCCCAGGACTGCACCTGTTTGTTCTCTTGTTGGCGTCGGCAAAGGTGCTCCAAGTTCCTGGCGTGGTCTCCGGCATCCGCTCGCTGGTCAGGGCCCCAAGCCCCACGCGACGGTCGGCGGGGGCGAATCGAAGTTTAGGAGTCAAGGACTTCAATAGCTTTCCTGAAGCAGGGCACTTTCTATGAGAGGCAATCACAGACGAGCGACGAGGTTGCCGAAGCCGCGAAAGGGCATGCCACCGACCGACTTTTCCAAGCGTGTATCATATCGTATGCACAAGCATGCACGCACCGCGTCCTCCTAATCGGCCGACCAGAACTTCGGACAATGTCACAGCTACTACACGTGAAACACAGATTGCCTGCAACGATTTCGTTGGCAGGTGCCTTGGACCAACGTGGGGTGGGGCACAACGAAGGCTCTGTTACCCTGGGCGGAGCGGGCTGGCTGAGTGGATTTGGTGGTGTTTCTGTGCAAGCTCAGCAGCAATGAGTTTTACGTCCAAGCCGCCCGACAACTGTGCACAGTGGTATGGTGAGTGCACGTATCAGAGGGAACAGCCAACTTTCACAGCTCGGGGGTTTGCCATTGTTATTGGTTGTGAGGACGGGTTGAGGTACCCTTTGCTCAAGTTCTTTGGACCATTGGCGGACCGAAAGAAAGGAAATGTGATTCCCGATGGCATGTTGCCTCGAGAGATTGTTGGTCCTTCTTTCAAGTGCGGTATCAATGGGGCTAATATAGCCTTGCACCGCAAGCGTAGACCATGTGCGTGCACGTTGTCTTGTTCTGTGTGACAGACGTTTTTGCCGCTGCTGGACCTCACTTGGCTTAGCTTCGTGAAAGAGGCTCCTGACATGCCAGTTTCAGGTGGCACCCTTTTCGCGGAATGCTGCAAATATCCCGACTATCCGTTTCAGCGTATGGATGATCGCCGAAGTAGCTGAACATCAGCAAGAAGTGACACAACTTCGACAGGTGAGGTTGCAAAACAGGTAGCTGCTTTCCTCGCGATCGTGCGGCCGAAGTCTAGTTTTACTGAGCAGATCTACGTGTTCTGCCGTGACGAGCAAGGGAACAAGTAAGATTTGGCTGCAAAGCTTGGGAGGTGCCTCATTATTAGCACATCGACGTGAGCCTGTAGTTACTATGGTGGAGGCTGCGCTTGATTAACTCCTCCAAGTGGAACCAAGAGCAGAGAGAGAAGCGAAGGTGAAGGGCCGGGTCAGGTTTATTGCTCGAACGTGGTCGGGCAGATCTGATTAGCTGTGTTTGGGCCATGTCTCATTGCCTTGGGGGAGCTGGGTGGCAGGGTGATCTGATCGTGGTCCGAGTCTGGAGGAGGGGTGGCGGGATGTTTCCCCAAGAGGTTGAGGGCCGCGTAGGGATTAGGATAAGAAACGAGGGGAGACAAGAAGGTGGCACGTCAGTCGGTCCATCATCGCTGTGCGGAAGGTCAAGCCAAAGAAGAACGAAGTGAGCGCAAAAAGAGCAGCTTTGCTGCCATGGCAACCTGAAGTATACCAGCTTGTGGAGCAGCTGCGCGAGTTCCATCAGAGGCCACGGTGGTTTCGTGCCCCACTGCGATGAGAGGCAGAGCGAGAAACTGATGCTGGGGGTACCTTGTTGGATACATCGATCACAACGGGAGAGCCAAATTCCGCTGTGGAGCTGGTCCGTGCCTACCCTCCCTTTCAATCTTGGGATTGCTAACTACTTGCTGCGACGGCGCATGGCGCATTGGTGCGCTTCGTGTTTGCATACGTTCGCCTCTGATGCTGTGAAAGCATCGTGCCATAGAACACCCAACGAGTGCATGTGGTGCGTTCAGCCCGCCCAGCCATTTCAGAATCTAGGAAGGAAGCATGGAACAAGAGGAACGGCAGAAGCTTGACGCCATCTCCCATTACCCAGACAGACTCAGACCGAACTACTAGCAATTCAAAAACGGCTCCGGCCTCATCACTCGCCTACAAGCGGGAGAGAAGCAAAGGCTTGCACGTTTCTTGAACCCAGTGCTGTTGATTCATGTGCTTCTCTCAGATGCAGTGAAACGTGACAAGATGCATTTTGCATTTGTTACGTCCACCTTGTCTGCAGCTTCCTGGCAGTAAGTCCCTCGAGAGGCCCTCCGGGTTTTTCTTTCCCACCGAAGGGCATAAGATGCAAGCTGTCATCATTTTGTTGGATTCAGTACTCTTGCTGAAGGCATGCCTTCCTGCACTGGCCTAGAAGGCCGAAGAACTCAGCCCGGCACTTGGAACCGTTGACCGTAAACCTGCGAGGCATCCATTCCAGTCATGAACTCCGAGTCATTTCACGACGGTGCCAGCATTGACAATAAGGTCTTCGGGCGAGTATCTTGCTGAACGGTGGAGTTGTCTCAGAAGTCGATTTTCCAAAAGTTCTCCGAGTGGGGAGCCACCCCATATTCCTCAGAGCTATCAGGACTGTGCTGCACGACATGTATCGTACAGTTCTTGAAGGTCTACAGAGTCTTTCGACCGTAGAGTGGCCCAGGTCCGATGCACAAAGGCATGTCGATGTGCAGAACCCCTGTGCATGTACCACTCACACTGACTTTTAACTGAGTCTGGCTGACAGAAGCCTGGACGGTCCTGTCCGATCCCTCCGCCTTATGGTGGAAACCTCGACGTGTCGCCACCCACACCTGCTGTAACCGATCCTCCGAAAAGATGGGGGCAGAGGCAGAGAAACGAGGCCGAGAGAGAGTCTGAGGGCCGCCACGGTTCGTCGGTCCGCAAACCCGTGTCACGGCAGCCTGGAGCTGCGGCGCGCCCCTCGTCCGTTGGACTTTGCTCGAAGGCGGTGTGTGTTTGGTCTGCGGCAGGCGTAGGAGAATGGAATCCAGAGTAGTGCTCGGAGCAGACCGCCCAGGCAGAGCGTTTTTGCATGCATGAGTCTCACATGTGCCAAAGTTTTGAGCAGGCAGCAAGTTGATGAAGGAAAACCTTCCGGATCAATGTGCAGCTGTACCTAGCAGGTGCACGTTTGCTAGAAAGCTGCGGCATGCTCACTTGACATTGTGGAGGCTCTGTGCAAAGCAGAACCGAAGCGCAATTGCAGATGCGGAGCGGCGGGTGCGCTTCCAGGCCATGGATTTGAGAGCGCGCAGCTCATTTACCCGTCGCTGGACTCTCTTTACTTGGCTGCAAGGAGCCTGACATCATTGAAGTCGTCAGCTGGAAGGATGCAACACACCTCATGCAGTACAAAGGCAAAAAGAAGCTTGAAGAGGACAGCTCTGGGTGCATGATCCATGTCGAGTTGAGCGGGTTGCCTATCGCGGAACTCTTGCATGTTGCGCCATTTGGGGGGCAGACAGCGGGGAGGCCACTGTCAATAATATCAGCTGAAATTCGCACTTGACTCTACTCCGCAGAATGCAAGGAGGAGTTCATGCTTGGTGCTCTATCTTCCCTTCCTCATCGTTTCGCTTTGATGGCAGCCTTGATGCCCATGGCCGCGCGGAGAAAGATGAGTTTGCACAGTGGAGTCCACTTGCCAAACACCTGTCACAAGTAGTTACACACGCAAGGTTGAGAAGTTGTGTTCATCACAAAACTAGTGTGATTGAAGCGACTTAAGCCCAGGTTGTCCGTTTTGCAATCGGGATCGTCGATACAGTGATGTGAGTTTACGGTGCCCACACATGAGTCCGCGTCTCAGATCGAAGCTGAATGAAGCAAAGTCATAGCTTGATGTTTGATGCTCAGGGTCGCTGCAAGCCTGCTTTCGAATTTACAGCTTCGCTGGTGCTGAGCCAGCATGTTCAAGCTGTCCATGAACACTTAGTTCGTGGATCATCGCTTCCCTGCCTGGTCCTGATAGAAGGGTGCTGGCTCTCCGAGAGACCTTGCCAGATACCTCTCGGGATTTGGACAGTCCGGCTGTTTGCTTGGACGGCCGCAATACCTCCTGAAACCGGTCTTCCGTGGTCCTAGTGCCATGCAAGGATTAACCAGAGCCGCGAGGGATTTTCGGAGGCCTGAGAAGGCAGATCCAAATTCGGAAATTTGGATGTGAATTCACCCTCGCTGTACAGCATGCATTGTCCCTAGTGGGGAAGGTAAGCACTCGCGGAATCGAGCAAACGAGCTGCTGCACAGAGCCCGACGAGAGACCTTGTCGATGGTCCAAAGTCTCTCAACAATTGCAGGGCCCTGGCTCACCAGGTAAGGGCTTGGTGTAGACAGAAGCCAGTAGTAAGGAAGCGATGGATTTGCCGAGACCCATCGTCATGGACTCTGAAGGCTGATGCACTTCGTCAGAGCCTGCACGGCAGCACGCTGTGTGTTGTCAGGAGATGGCCTGAAGACAGGCCGCGCCCTCCTTGGGCGCCTTTTGCTTGCCGGCAGTGCCCTCACACCGGAGGGCCTGGATCTCAAGATTCGCAGTGTGGAGCCGCTTCTCTGTCATGTTCGGTTGGATGAGGCCTACTCAATCTGGGTTGGACGGCTTCTGAGTTTGCGAGGCCGGTAGCATCTGACCACGAAGATGTGACAGGTTTTAGTGAGGGTCCAGCGAGAGCAATGGCAATGTCTCAGGAAAACAACTCCGCGTAGTCGCGTAGCATGTGTAGAGCCGAGATAGCCCCCAACTTTCTGACATGTGTGCTGAATTCTGCTTGCTCGATGCTGGTGCTCCCTGCAGGCCTTTGGCTTCCCTGTCGTCAGAGCCGATTGATTTGAAGGGCCACTCGAAATGCCAGAAGGTGAAGAGCCCTCTGAGACCAAAACGTGTCCACTTCCAGGCCGGCATGAAGTTCACTAGCTGCCCGGGCCACACTTTAACGAGCCACCAACATGCATGTCTCTACGCCCTTGGAGGAACCCGATATCATCGAGGTGCCCAGCTGGAAGGATGAGACGCGCCAGATGCACTACAGGGCACAACCTTCCGAGGACCTACATGGGATTGTGTGTCTGTGTGTGTGTGAGAGTTGTTCAGCCGAGTGCAGACGGGAACGACATCAAGGGGGCTTGTCCGAAAGCATAATGTGTGCTCGCCTCTAAGGTTTCGGCAAACCATTGTCACGAGCAGTGGCACGTAACGTGGAGCTTGCTGCAGCTTAGCATGTAGAACAGCTTCTGTTGCTCGCCTTCCCAGGAATCTTGTAATTCGATGCGGAGATTGCTTACAGTTTCTGCTTTTTTGTTGGAGCCTGCCCGTCACATCCTGTGTTCGCTGGAACTCCGCGCGTACTCGGGAGGAGGATCTCCTGGAAGAGTCCGTGAAGCTCCTGCTGCACACCGCTAGGCGTTTCCTCTCTTCGCGTGTCGCATTTGCAGCCGCCTCTGCAGCTGCGATGACCGGCATGGTGTCTCGGTTGCATCTCAGCTGAGTGAGTAGCCAGGTGTCACGGTGCCGAAGACGAATCCGTCAGGAACAAGAGCGTTGCAGCAGGTGCCTGCCAACTTTTTCTTCAATTGTATCACTCAGGTTGCAGTTGGAGTTGTCAGCACAATGCAGCAGCTGTGATGAGAGTTTCACCAAAAGCACCACGACCAGATGTCTCTGGACGTCTTCCCCTGGTGTAGGACATGCATGCCCAAGTGAATCACTTGGGATGCTTTGTTACCGCCTGCTCAGCAGCCTGCTTGAGCTTTTCCCTCGCTTTGAATTGCGGCGAGTCTTGCATTACTGCGTTACAGATATGTTCAGGATAGAGGGGCTCAATTTGCCTCTTGCACCTGGTGTCAATTTTCAACTGGCGGATGGCGCAGCATTCTGTTCGGACATTCCAGACGGACAGGTGTGAAAGTTTCGTCCGCACCTGCTTAATTTGGGCAAGTCATCAGAACTCCATGAGAGAGTTCAAATCCACAGGGTGGACACCACGAACACTACGACATGGAGCCATCCCTACCGAACTGCTTCAGTTCCTAGTACACGTCATCAACTACTGCAGATTAGATTAACAACACCAAGCTGTACACTTAGGGCTTGGTGCGTCTTCCTTAGATCCGCGTGACGAGCGGACCGGCAGCAGCCGGTGGGGTGGTGGCAGAGGGGGCCAAGGAGCTACCTTGCAGCGAGCATTCGCAACAACGTTGTCAAATAGATTTGTTGACTGCGATGTGCACGAAGAGGGGCATGTGCAGCATGCATCTGGTCAACCAGCGGCGATGAACCGATGCTGCAGCCGTGCAGGATGTTCGGTGCATGCTATGATTAAACCCTACTACATGCCACTTTTTATGCGCGACGCGAGGATCCGAGCAGCTCTTAACAGACCTGCACGCTTGAGCTTGCTGAGATGATTTGACCACTGCTAGCCCTGCGGCGCCTTGGGCCTACCATGGCTCAGTTTTTGAACGTTGCTGAAGCGGAAGCGGGTCTCCGAGAGCGATGTCCCCAGGCTGGCAGATGGCGGCCTTCGCTTTGAGGCAGGCACGGCTTGCTCGACTCCCGACCTCGCTTTCCGGAGTGCAGAACTCAGCAGGGAAATGCCCCGTTCTCTGGAGAGCGCAGAAACGGTCCCTTGACGGTCTGTGCCTTTGTCCCTTTCCCTTTCTCCCAGGCGGCCGGGAAAGGAAGGAAATTCTCGAGGCCGAGCAGCCCAGCCTCGCGGCGCCTCGCGTCCTTCGGGGAGCCGCGGCGTGCGCTTGGCCAGTTGCGACGTGGCCGTGGTGGGCGGCGGCGTCATCGGCACGTCTGTGGCGCTGCACCTGGCCGCGCTGGGCAGGAGAGACGTCGGTATCTCAGTGTCAACGGCCGATCTTCTCGGCATGCCGGTAAGAGCGACGGAGGGTTTCGTGTATTAGATCAGATCGTGGTCTTCGAGCCGGATGCAAAGTACACTTACGCATCGGCACCCCGTTCTGCCGGCGGCCTGAGACAGCAGGCATCGTGGTGCATCGCGGTGCATCGGTGTCACTGCATCTTATTGGACTCATGCCGATTGCAGTTCTCCCTGCCGGTCAATGTGGAGCTGTCCCTTTATGGTGTGGATTTCCTGAAGCATGGTCTTCAAAGGCTCTGTGAAGGCCTGTCAGAAGCTGTATTCCTGCTTTCAGGTCACCAAGCTTTTCTCTGCCTTCAGGCATTGATGTGGACGCCGATGTTCAGTTCAAGGACGGTCTCAGCAAGAGATGAAGAGGAAGGCTTGCAGTGTATGCCTTCGTTCCGGGTCAAGGTTGTCACGCACAAACCGAGAGATGCGTAAGTTCGGTTTACAGAGAAGCAGGACTGAATTTTCATACCTGGACGCAGTGGCAGTTATGACCTAGTTTTCAAAGTGCTCGGTCTCAAGGGACACCCCCCCGTCATGAAGGATTGCACCACGATAGACCCGGGCATGCTTGGAACCTTTGTTGTAGTGTCAGGAGAATGGTTACCTCCTCCTTGCTACTCCCGATGGCGAGGTCCCTTGCTTGGAGCCTGTGCCGCTTTCCACAGCCAAAACAGGGGTGGTGCCTGGCTTGGTTTGCCATCGTTCTGATTCCACTTTTCCGATTGCCATCGGTGGCTTAGGGTTTCGATCATCCTTTCTCGGCTCCGACAGGATTTGTTTATCAGGATATTCAGCCTGTCGAAACCATTGGAAGAAGGTTCCTTCTCTACTCGCATGCTGCCAGACTTTGATCCCAGCCAATCCGCCACATCATACCAGGCCCTTGCGACCTACTGTCAAGGCACAAGGCAGAATCCAAACATTGAGTTGGGTCCGGGTCCCAGCCATTTCCAGCCACAGGCATCCAAGCGAGAAGGCCCTGGGCTCCCCCAGCTAAGCCATCTGAGAAAGCGACTTTGCGCTACTCAGAGAAGCTTCGGTCATGACTTTTGAGTCGTTTGGTGTCGGGCGTAGCGGCTCCGAGCACGTCCTGGAACACGTTGACAGCGCCATGAAAGCCCTAGAGCTGGGATTTGGACACACCGACTGCGAGGCTGCTCTTCGCGAGAACAACGCCGTGCAACATTCAGCTGGTGCTGGCTGGATCAGATTGCTTGACCCACCCGAGCTGAAAGCCAGGCGGTTCGGCTTTAACGGCTTGTCAGAACCCAATTTTGGACAAGCTTGACTCGCAGGTTTCCCTGGCTCTCGACGGAGGGAGTCGCTCTTGGGTCCTTCGGTGAGCGACCTCCTGCCATGTTCTCCGACTCCTAACATGCTGAGCGTGTCTGGTACAAGAGCCCGCATGACAGGGAACGAGGGCTACTTCGATCCCTGGGCACTTCTTCAGGCTCGAGCTTTGGGAGATTTGCACAGCGTGGGACTGCATGAAAATACGAATGCTAGGCTATGCGCAAAGCAGCAATGGCCAAAGGAGTAAGATTTGTGGAGACGGCTGTCACTGCGATGAGGATGGCGCTGGAGTCCCAGCGAATCTCTAGTTGCTGTGCTCGTATTCATGTGCCCCCCCACCAAGACCTGACAAGAGCATCGCCGCTGTCCAACTAGCTGACGGTAGCGATGCCACCGCCAAAACGGTGGTCAACGCAGCAGGCGCCGGAAGACTGAAGACCCGCAGTTGGCTCTGCAGGTTGGGGATCTCTTATAAGCTGCGAGGTGCCTGGGGTGGGAAAGTGCCCATGCCTCGGACAGACAGCCTTGGGCCCTTCCTTTCACGCTCATTCCTCCGTGTGCCTCTTCTAAGGGTGGCCATGTGCGGCGAGGTCACGCCGCTCCCAGTGGTACCACGGAAGTGCTCGGCCAAGCCACCTGAGCTGTCTCAGCCAATTTTCCCTCGTTGCTCGATGTATCTTGGTTGGAATCGTCCTTGGCGTTCAGGCGATGTATCTTCCTGTTTCATGCTGGCGTCGAGGAGGGATTTCCTGAGTTTGCAGTTTAGCAAGTAATCTATTCTCTTCTGAAGTCTGCGGCAGAGGTGGCCAGCGATGGCTTGCATCCTCGACCACCGGAGAACACGCCGTTGACGATCGATGCCAGTGGGGTGTACTTTCGTCGCATGCCTACGGTGAAATCACCCTTTGATGTCTTGGCTGGGACACGTGCCGCCTTTGAGGTTCCGAGGGTTCGCGGAATCGATTTCTGCGCCTTGCCGGCAGATCCAACATGATGCACAAAGTGGCAGAAATGGACTCCAGGAGCACGAAATTAAAAGTGCAGTGCATATGAACTGGTAGTACTCAGGTACTCACTGAAAAGCCAGCAAAAAGCTTCGCCCGCTGTTGTGCACAAAAGCTCGGACGATGTTCACTCGGCATTCGTGCCTAAACGGCTTGCTGTGCCAGCAGATCAAGCATAAAGAGAATATGCTGGACTGACAACGCCGTTTTTAACCAAGCCTTGTGTTGGGGATGCTGGGTGCGCTGCAACTGCAACGAGTGTGAGGTGTGGCGTTAGCCCCAAGCCGGAGGCCGTGTTCGTGCCTTGCTTGTCGAAGGCTGTGTTGCGTCGCCCAAGCAGTCAGCTTACAGGCGGATCTGGACTGTGACGCAGATTCTCTCTTGGATGTTGACTACGAACTTTTCGAGGACGGGACTCGACTTGGCCACGCCCATGCATCCTGCGCGATGAAGATGAAGATGTGTGTTTGTGCTGGAGCGGTGGATGTTGAAGTGAGGTAGTCCTTCGTGAGACGTTAGCATTTTCGCCTTGCTTGCGGCGTAGTGTAGCCTAGCTTGAAGATGCCACTGGATCACAGCTGGGCATACATGGTCAGGCGTCTGGCGTTCCCGGCCCCCTCACCCCAATGGTGTGGTCTGGCGGGGGTTGGGGGGGGTGGGGGGGGGGCTGGATGTGCGGAGAGGGGTCGGGGTCGTTGGATGTGCGCGGTGGTGCTTGGCTGCGGCCAGGGGTGACACGCAAGTCCTACGCAAGCCGCAAACCCTACAACGCAGCGCGTGCTCCTGTTTTCATGAACCTTAGCCTGTACTTAAAACCCTACACCCAACCCTAAACCCCACCTAAATGCAGGCTCTACGCCTAAAGCAGAACAGGAACCGTCAACCCTAACCGAACCTACTCCCCAAATCCTCCCCAAGCCCTTGTCGACTCGAAGCCTTACACCAACTCAAAAGCTTAAGCTAAACCCCCTAATTAACCCCAAAACCCCACAACCACCGCACAGGGGAAGTGGGACCCCACACCCCACACCCCACACCACAGAAAAAGGGGACCCGCCCTATATCCGGACCATTGATCTTTGGGAGGGGGAGGGGGGGGGAGGCGGATCGCGTGATACCCTCAGCAGGGTCTGTGGAATTCAAGAAAAAGTCGGGCTTACAAGCTCTATCGCAACTTATAGGAGATGCATTCCATGGATTCGAGCTCAGAGCGGTGTTCGGGTCTGTCGTGCTTCAGGGTTCAGCATTGGAGTTTGTACGTAGGTGTTTCTCATGCAACATCGCAACATCCCCCGTGGAGGTTCCAGGCCTTGCCCCGGCGGGTTGCTTTCTGGTCAAATTCTAGGATTTTAGGGTTTCCCACACGCAAGATGTCCTTTGGGGTTTTTAGGTCTCCCTTTTTGGGCACAGGGCTCTGCACCCAGTATCTTGCTGATTTCAGGGTCTAGGGCTGCCGCACAACATCTTCTGTCGCCAGTGTTTGCTCCATGATTAAGGGTTTCCACGCGACATGACACCTTCTAGGGTTGAGGGTCGACTGCTTTCGGGTTTGAGGATCTTCCGCCGACTTTCTGCCAATAGAGTTTAGGGTTTCAGACATGAAAATTAGTCTTCAGGTTCAGGGCTTTCAAGCACGTGTTCTGATAGGGTTTAGCAATGTTTAGCATTTGCCACGCGAGCCTTTAGGGTTTGGGGTTTGCCGCACAACATCTCCGAGTGTGACTTAGCCTAGCCCACTATCTGCTGTCCCAGATAGCTGAGGGCTTTCCACGCGACATCTTCTGTGGGATCCATGGCGTAGGGTTTCAGGTTCGGGTGATGTTCTTGTGGTGCTTGAGGTTTCCCACGCTGCATACCGTGTTGTTTACTGCAAGGTACATGCTAGCTTGAAAGCTGTGTCTTTCCAACCACTATCTTCTTTGGGTGTAGGGCCATGAGCCACTGTTTTATTTCGGGTTTCGGGTTTCTGCGCGACTTGAAATGATTGGTTAAGGGTGGGTGGCAAAACCCACACCGTCCCCACCAAAGGCTCGACAGGGTATGATGGCGAAAGATGTTCCTGCTTACTTCACTGTCTAAGTCGAGAGGTTTCCTGTGGCAGTCGCGAAACTGTGAAGGCACGTCGTGCCAAAACTCCAGACCTGAACCGCCCCCCCCAATCACTCCACCATCTCCACCCTTGCGACAGTGGGCCGGAAACGCGGTGCGTCCCTTGCATGACCAGCATTGTGGAAATCAAGTGTGAGGTGTGGCAATCATGGCACGTCTCGGCAGCAAACGGGACTGATGCGGCAAGACCGGAGACTCTTGAGGCAGCATTGCATTTCATTCCAGATTGATCCATGCCACCTCACGGACACAGCCTGTCGCTGTGTGTCGCTCATGCTGCTCGACGACGACAGCATACGACAGCATTCTCAGCTGGAGGCACTACTCGCAACAGATGTTCCAAGCCGCGGAAGAATGGCATGCGAAAGCTCGTGGAGTGTAGGAGTCGGAAGGAAAAGGCTGGCAGGAGGCATCTTTGTTTGCCCCTGCATCGACTAGCACGGCCGAAGTCTCTGGACCTGAGAGGTCCTCTGCACCTTGGCTCAGTCTTGTCATCTAGTAACTCGATATGTGGATCCGTGAGTGAAGGACGTGATCTGGCCTGCCCTGGCAGAAAGGGCTCCGGCCTTCGAGGTCCGTGGGATTTTGTGTGTTTTTTGGCGGCCCAAAGCATGGACCCTGGAGCCCAGGCCATCAAACTGGAGTCTTCCTGGGCGGGCCTCTACGAATACAACACCTTGGACCAGAATGGCGTGGTAGGGTCTGAAGCTCGAAGCATCAGAGTAGCTATACTTGGGCTTACTCGCAAAATGCAAAGATGCAAAGGTGGCATCCAGATGTGCCGAACCTGCTGGTGGCATGCAGCAGCCCTACAGCCTCCTGCACAGTGCATTTCCACGATGAGAGCCTTCGGAGGAAGTAAACCACTGGCAGGCGCCTATGTTCAACAACGACCCCTTTCTGTACTTCCGTATAAAGCATCAACGGAAGGTGATGACTTGCAAGCTGCAGTGCACACACATGAACTCGGATATGAGCGTCGGAGATAGGTATGGCTCACACTTTGGAGACTCGTGCAACGATCCGTCACAGCCGCTGGGACACTTCTGAGGCGGCTTCAGTGGTCACGGACTGCAGCAGGCCAGGCCCCCAGGCCCGGCCTCCGGCAAAGCGGCGGTTCACGGCGTTTTGCCGTCTCAGGCTCCGGGAGTCGGCAGGGCGGTCGCCGAGCTGCTGTCCTTGGGCCGGCGCGCGGGCGAGCGTTGTTTTTGTTTTGCGGGCCTTGTGGAGAAGGTGCAAAAGGACATAGAAGGAAACAAGGACAACAAGGCATCAGTTCTGTTTCTGTGTCGCTTTGTGGCACTGGCAGGTACGACACCATTGACTTGTCGGTGCTGGGCTACGACCGCATTTCACGCAATGAGCCGGTTTTTGAGCGTGGCATCTACTGAAGGCCATGCTCACCTGAAGCTTGTACATACTTCTATGCCAGGTGACGACTTGCCCCATTCATCTGTTCCTGGGGATCAGGGTGCGTACAAGATGAAATAGGTGGGAGGTGTAATTCCTCACAGTTGACGGAGCATGAAGGAGCAAGTTGGACAAGCATCCGACAGCGCAGGCATGACAAGAGACCAAAACTTGGTGTGGACAGAAGGAAGGATCGGCAATGGGAGAAGGAAACACGGCGTGAATTCAATCGCCTCAGCTTCAGGAAGTTTTCCAGCACGCAACGCAACCGTGCATGGGTGCACAAGTGCCAGAATGGACATCCATGCTCTTCGTCTGGCATCGGCCGCGGGTTTTTTGGAAGTGCTGAGAGCAGTATGCACCCCTTCCGTATCCAGTTTATGCGATGCACTTCAGCGGGCCTCTGATCAAGGCCCCCGCAGAACGAGGGGTCTAGCGGGATGGGTGCGTGAGCATGCTCGCCCGAACGTTGCGTTGTTGCAGCGCCGTTCCCAAAGTCCCCCGGGGCATGATGGAGGCGCAAGCCACTGGGAGTGGGATGCACGGAGCCAGCCTTGGCAATCCTTGCAAGCTTGTTGCAGAAGCAGAGTCAGGACCAAGATATTATCTGCGCAACCTACTTCACCACATGCTGGCCCGTTTTCGGCTCCCAGATCTGCCCCGGCCGCCCGAATGGGACCTGCTAGCAGCAGAGTGCCGTGGCATGCACTTAAGCGTTGGACATGTTGGACGTGGCGTTTCTTCCCGCACCTGCGAGCTTTGGTACCTAAAATTGCTCGGTGTGATGTCAATATCGAAGCTTTGCTTGATCACATCTGAGGTGCGAGCACGCCGAGCGTTTGCAGTTGCATCTACCGTGTTGGCCGGTGCACTGCTAGTGTTTCCCACACCTACGGCCGTGGCAAAGACGTTTGCCCAACCATCGCCAGTCATGGAGGCAAAATGTCCCATGCGACAGCCATTTGCAAACAAGAGTATCGGGCCATAGCAGAACTAAAACACCTTCGCGGTCAGAAGGTTGCTGGACCATGCTGATCACAAGAGGGTCCCTAAAGCATGGTAAAGCTTCAATGCAATGATGTGGCCGGATGAGATGCGATCTCGTTACCTGCAGATACTACACATCTGGGATGCATATTTGAGAAGCATGGGAAAGCTTGCCTCAACTGCTTTGGCATTGTCAATTGCACTTTCCACTGGGCAGCATCAGCTTCCGCTTGCCTTCTACTTGTACCGTCTGGCGTAATTAGGTTGGCACTAACAGACGGCCGTAAGTCAGATGTCTGACTCATAACCTGACTGGCCAGCATGTCGACATTGAAAGCGCGACACGTAGTTCGCAGAAAATGAGCCAGGTGACTGGGATCCGTAAGCATCCCAAAAGTGTCCGGATCCGTGTTCTCGTGACAGGTAGACCCGGAATACCCGGGAACTGCTGTAGAACGTCTCAGGAACATCCAGGCAGGGTTCGCGCATAGTATGTAGAGTCTTGTGCACGGCCCTCCTGTCCCACGTCTTGGCATCATCTGTATCTGGCAGTGTTCCTTGCCAGGCGCGGGTGAAAAGCTTGACGCCCGAGGACCTGAGCAAAGACTGGGAGGAGGCATGGAACCGCATCAATTTCCTCTCACACGGCTTTATGTCATGTCTGCTGGCAAAGCAGGCCAATGCAAACTGGGAATGAGCAGCTTGACGATGTTGCTAGGTGCGCCGGAAGATCTTGTGGGCCGGGGGCCTCAAGGACCCGAGCTTCAAGTCCTTAACTCAACAAAGCTCTACGCTCTTTGCGGGAGGATCTTCCACGCAGTGTGCCTGGACAGGGCTACACAGGAGCGCCAGCTGCTGTGAGAGCAAACACAGCCACGCATCTGACCAGAGGCCATTCCTTTAACGATGACAACCATTGCGATCTCACCCCCATGCTGGGGGAGGCCTCAGAGTAGTCTCAGCATCTTGGATAATTCTGGAGCGTTCGAGCCAGTCTGTGGACTCTCCGGTCTCCATGCCTTTCCGCGCGAAAAGCATTCTTCACGTGACGCGTGCGAAAGCGAAACCCAGAAGTCCAGAACTGGATAATTCCAAGTATCGGAGAGGGGGCAAATACGGAGAGTTGGGCTGGGAGTCGAGAGGTGTTCTGTTTACCTGGGATTTGCGAGTGTTGTGTCGCAGGTGGCGCACAATCTCCATGGTGGGGAGATTCGTGGAATAGCAATGGGAAATCGGCTAGGCATGTCGACGCAAGCAGCGAGCTCAGGTGCCACAGAAAGCCTGTGCTCAGTACATGCCAGGTCCTGGCATTGAGATTGCGAGTCTACCCGAGCTCGGCCCCGGCGGGTCTTGGAGTGCGCGACGCGACTGACTTGGGGAGAGCTGCGCTGCGCTGCAGCGCTTTGCACATTTTGCACCTTGTGCAGCCTTGTTTTTAGCTTTTTGGAGGTACTTGCACGAACGGCTGCCATGTAGAGCCACCGCAGGACTGACTCTTAATCCTTTGAGCTTGGAATAGCCGTGTGCCAAGTCTCGTGTATGCGTCGAGACCTCATGCTGCATCTGTTACGTCATCGTGATCTTGCTGCCAGGATGTGGCCCATGTGCAGTTTAGGCAAGGCCCTTTGCAAACACCCGTGTGGATGAGTTGCTGGCGTGGGTGAGGGCTCGGATCGCCTTCAAGCTTGTGTGGACCCCGCCGCACTTCAGCAGCTTCGTTTTGGTGGATGACAGCCGGGCGGCCCAAGTGTGTTTCGTCGCGGATTCAGGGGGTTTTAGTGGGCTGTCTGGTGCTGTGGCTCAGGTGGTGCATACCTCAATCACGGCTTTCCAACTGGCGTCGGCTTCTCGGAAGTCGCACGGGCACGCCGCAAGATCTGCAACCATGCGAAAACCCATTGCAAGTGGCCCGAACATATGTCGCCGCGTGCTGAGGCCCTGCCGGACTTGCGCTCCCGGGCTTCGAACTACAATCTTGTGAAGGGGAGCAAGTGACCCTCTCGCAGCTTGCTACTGTAGTCTGGGTGCGAGGTCGTGCTGCAAGCAGAACAGAACGGTGCACAGTAGTAACTTGACACACACACAGCTTTTGGGCTGGCCGGTGCATATGCTTTCCTGGTGTGGTGCAAAATTTTGTGTGTTGTGGTAGGCTTTCTCAGTTTCTTGTTGCGGTTTCAACGCACGCACCCCTCTGCAGCTAGTTTGTGTGGATTCGCGGAAGCGGTTTGTTTGTCTGTGTGTGCGCGTGTGTGTGTGCATTGAATTCTCAAGTTTCTCACGCAGGAATTGCAAGGGCTTTCCACCCCTGCGACCGGTTCCAGATCATAGGAATCGTGGAATCCGATGTGCAAGTTGTGGCATATAGCATGCTGGACTTCTGCTTGGATTGGTGCATAGAAAAGTTGACTCATTCAACGTTCCCAGTTGCGATGTGACGCGACATTTGCAGCGCGAATCTCAAGAAGACGTCCGCGTGTCGTCCGAGGGCGAGGCCACAAAGCTTGGGCTGCCACTGGCCGTAAGCAGCGCAGCATGAACTGCCGTCGGTCGTCGGTTTTGCTGCTTATGTGCTGAGTACAAGCTTGTGAAGCTGTTGCCATGTGACGTTTATAGTGAGGTGTTCACGCCATCCGAATATCTCGAAGGCTCGTGCACCATGTCAGGTATGCACGTGAGGCGGAGGCTTTGGCCGAACGCTCCGCTGGCGCTTAGCCAGTACTTGGCATGAGGTGTGGACTTTCACAGCTTCACTGACGCCCAAACGATCACCTTGGCAGCTTCTGCAGGTTGCGTTTGCATCTGGATTGACGCTGTATACAGTAGGCAGCATCATCGCTCGGGCAACTTGCTGCGGCCAGCGCCAATTTTCATACCCTGGTGATCCTTCGTGCGAGTCAGCGATGAAGAAAAGTGGCTCAAGTGCACGTCTGTGCAAGCGTAAACGCAGGCAAGCACGCGCGCACCTCGTCGTCACAAGTTTTCCAAGACAGCCAAGGACTGTCAATCAGCGTCCAATGCCACCGTGACGGTCCTTGAATGTCCTTGTATACTTGTGACGATGTGCATGCCATGCCATGTGTCTGTGTGTGTGTGTGTTTTGGGAAGGGGGTTTGACTTTTCGGAAAGCGGTGAAGGATGTACAGCACAGTTACTGAAGTCGTTGGGTTTTCAAAAGCACGTGCGTTTAGTTTCGAATCACTAGCATTTGGTAGAGGTGCCGCAACCATGTATCTGATTGTCTCATCTTCTGCTGGCTACCAGGCATTTAGTGGACACGAGAGTCGTTCGTTCTTCTCTCGAGCCAGAAGCGTTGCCGATGCATTTTTCCAGGCCCCAAAAAACGCATCGGTAAGGCCTGTGACCTACTTGCACCGCACAGAAATCGGTATGTTATCGTGGTTTGGGGGGTTCTGCAAGACCGCATATAGTCATCTGCAGCCCCCAGACCCCAAATTCCGAAGCCTCCCCGTTCCTCCCAATCCTCACCAATCATTCTCCCTTATGCCAAATCCCAGTTCTCATTGGATCTGCTATCTTGTTTCCGGGCGGGGAATAAACGCTTCCGGCCCCTGGGCCCCTGGGCCTCTGAGCCTCTGAGCCTTTCCCATTCGTCCCAACACTTCTCACTGATTTCTCCTTGGATTGCGTTTGGGGGTCTTGGACGATTGGGGATGGTCTAAGTCTAAAGATGAAATGGGATCAACTCCTCCTCATTTTTGATCAGGCCTTTTTGTGGCATGCAACGTCAAAACCTCCAGAACGTTGCACGGCGTGTTCCGAGCACAGCGGTCCTTTTGTTCTGTTTCAGGTAGTATGGGGTTTCTTGTTGCAAGGCGAGAAAGGTACTGGCCCAGCGTAGTTCCTCGGGGTCGATGTTCTCGGCCATGAGTCTGATGCCCCCTCTGATGAACTTTCCTGTTGGGGCACGCTCCAACCGTGCTCCCGCGGTTGGCCTGGCTTGGGTTCGGGGGTTGGAGGGACAGGGACTTCAGCTTGAGTTTGAGTACTTAGACTTCGGGGCTTGAGGCTTCAAGGGTATGGATGGATGGTGCCGTCGAAGCTTGCTTACGAGTATCCCTTCGTGAGCGCGCATGGCAATACCAGGAGGGTCTTAGGCGCACGCAGTTTCTTGGTTTCGGATTGCGCACTTATAGAGATTGTGTCGAAACCTCGGAGTCTGCGGCTCGAGTTTCAGTCGGTTACATTGAGTTAGCACCCACGCCGCTGATGCAATGCATGCAAAATGTGACAAGCCCTTGCACGACCTTACAATGCACTCACAAGCATCTCACCAACTGATGCACTCTCCAAGAGAGGTGCCATGAATCGATGTCTGCCGGGTGTCAGTGTTGTGCAAGAATGCGTTCTGGCTTCCTGATTGCACTCTCGACATTAGCTCTGGGCATGCAGTTTGAATTTTGGCGGCTGGTTGGCTGGTCCGAGGTGAGCTAGCATGCCCCGCGAAAAGCAGTCGGCTGCGGTGATCCTGGGCTCAGGCTTAATCTGATCTTCTTTCTTTTCTGCATGGGACAGGTTGGATTTGTCCCACAGCGGGACGTCTTGAGAGAACTTAGGAGCGGCGTCGTGCTGCCGGACGAGATCGACCCGTCCCTGGTCACGGAGGACAGCTGTGGCGGTGCGAGCGTGTATGTCCGAGAACTGAGCAATTTCTTTTACAGGGAGTTAAGCCGATTGTGAATTGTGTTTTTGTCTTTGCAGAACCAGCAGCTTGCAGAGCCCAAGTCTTTCGCCCAGCCCTTAGAAGTCCTTCAAGCCGAAAGTGTCTGAAAGACACCTTGACCGTTCGTTGTCAGATTTTGGATTCGACATCCAAAGAGGGAGTAGCTTATGCCAGCACCTCGGAGTCGGACTCTGCCATGCCTGCCATGCAATCCCACTTGTGATGACCTGCTTTGCAGGTTGCAAAGCTCTTCACCAACGACCGCTTATCGCGAGAGGCGGTCTTGCGGGTTCCGAAGTGTGGTGGTGATATGAAACAAGTTCGTGCTCGCTTTGACCGTGTCGCACCGACGAATTTGCAAGGTCATGTCGACTTTCCGTTGTGCTCAACCGCTGTTCCTCATGCAAAGTTCATGTTCATGCCCATGTATGGATCCTGCTAGGGACGTCTCAATACAGGAAAGGTTTAGATTCAGCCGTGCTGATGCACGCGGTCGTTCTTGCAGTCATTGCCCGTAGCATGCTCTGCAGGCTTTCACCTTCCTTGCACCTGAGAATGTGTCAGAGGATGTGGCTGCGGCCTTTGGAAGGGCTTTCGAGATAGCCGCGGTGTCACACCTTACACAGTGCCCCTTTGCCCTTTGTAAGTGGTTTCGATTCCAGACGCGCTGTGCTGCATGATCCCGTTTTGGCACAAGACTTTCCTGAGGCAACCGCTCCTCAGGAAACTGATTCACGCTTCCCCACTTTAGTACTCCGGTAGCGAGTTGCAGGCGCGAAGGCGCCAAAGCCTCATGTTAGTTCCTTTGGGTGCCGAACCCCCACCGGCAATCCCAGAGGTGGTAAGCGCCAAGCACATATATGGCTGGTATTCGGTGATGCTGCTTTTAGCTGGGCTGGCCACTGCCCAAGTCACTGCAGGAGATGCCTTCGCGGGTGTTTCTCGTCCAAACGCTCTTTGTGCTTACTCCTCCTCTGAGAGCTGAAGCCTCTGCTATAGCCACTGCCGATTCCCCTGAAGGTGTGATCTTTCTGGTGATGGCTGGCTTTGTTGTCTACATGGTGCAGGATTCGTGCAAGAACATGACCATGTATTGTCTATTCATGCTGGGACTTATGGCAAGCTTTCAGTGCTTTTTTGATGCACTGGCTCTCTTCAGCGTTCTGGGTGGCCGCGAAACCTCCGTGTCCTCAGTGCAGGGTACTGAGAACAATGTTACTGTGATAACGCGGATCACGCAGCACCCTTTCTTTGATCGGTCGATGGGCGAGCAGTACAACACCCAGTCTGCTGTTTTACTTGCGAGTCCGCTTGTGATGTCACTGGTGGCCTCGATGTGTGGCTTGGCTCGAGCGGTCGAGTATTTGCAGTCTACCGGGCCGGGGCCACTTGTGGAGCGGGTTTGTCTTGCAGTCACTGAGGTTATCTCTCTTACAATGCCTTTTCCGAGTCGCTCTTCGAAGCCGAAGCCGGGCCAATCGAAGGCAGTCCTGGGGAGTCCAAGTGCTCCTGGTGCCCTCGGCTACCCTCGGCTCATTTTGTGTTCTGAAGGTTGGGGCCAAGCCGCGAGATACGGTGCCTCAGAGAGCGTGGAGAGGACTCAACCGCTTCTGATCTGTTTCGTTATGGCATTTCGATGGAGCCTGGAGCTTGGCACCACATAACACCTTCTAAAAGAGACCAGGACTCAGCCATCTCCCCCTCGGCTTTTCGAGGCGCGGGATTGAGGTTTATTGAATGTCTTGTTCTGCTGTGCAGTGGCAAGTTGCTGCCGCCCGTCAGGGCCACGGACACCGACTGAGCGGCTGAAGAAAATCTGATGAGCTCTAACCGCAACCGATCTGCGGAACGTCAAAAGTGGGAAGGGAGGGTTTGTACAGACAGATGCACCCTCATATACCTGTAGCATGATGTAGGGCATCTGACTCTGGAAGTGCTGGACTCGGGACTTCTTACAGTTGAGCGCCTGAGGTTATCATGGACGGGGAGACGGTTGGTAACTGGATCCTTGAGGTAGGGACCCGCTTATTCGAAGAGGCGAGGCCCGGACGAGTGATGCTCCGCTTTTGGATTTCGGCTTTTTCTGTTTCCTTCCCTCGGGCCGCCTGCGCAGGGATCCCTTCCGGGCCTACCATCTTGGGAACAAGAGGCAGAGATCGCGCACTGATGGCGGAGTCGGTCAGTCCAGTTCCGCCGGTGTTCACTGTCATGTGCTAGGAGTCTCCTGAGTGGCGTGTCTCGCTGAAAGCGTGGTCCGTTGCCCAGATCTAGGAGAGTCCCAGCAGTCTATGCCTGTGGGTTTGACACAGCCGCAACAGAAACATGTTGTGGCGGCTGCTGCCGGGTGCTTGGCCGTTGCCAGGGAAGATGCCCTGGATGTGGCCATGGGCCCACGCTTTGCCGAGTTGGTGGAAAGGTCTTTCAAGCGGGATGCTTAGAAAGCCTTGCAGCTACTAGAGGGCCATGGGGCCATGGTGGTGGATCACGAGCTTCAGCTGCCTCAGCCGCCTCGCCCCCGTCTACAAGTTCCAAGTTCCAAGGCAGGCAGAGGCCGGCTTCTACCAGCTGGGCAGGCCCCCCCGTCTGCCTGTGTTGCGATGGGGGAAGGTTCCGAGAGCACCATCAGGTAGAGCCTTTGGGTCTTTGGGTGCAATCCTTGTAGCTCCTTATACCCTCTAGCCGGGAATGCGTGAGGGGGCACCTTTGGAGAAAGACAGGAAGGCGTAAAGAAAGCTCCATTGTCGGCATTTCGGAAGAGTCTTCCGGTGGCCTCTGGCAGGCAGCAACCTCAATCAATGTAACTTGGGAGCCCCAATGGCTGAGAGCCGGAGTCGGCTCATGAGCTCCCCAAAGCCTTGTGCTGTGCGGGTTCCAAGGAAGGTTCTCCGGCCAATCCTGTCACAGCACTCTCCGAAAAGTGCTTCACGAAAACCTTGTGCGCAAACTACTCTCGAAAAGCCGTCATAGGGCGCCAGCATGCTTTCATTGGGATTCTGTGTGAGGGCATTATTGCAGTTGCCAGAGCTGCCGACCCACGGCAGCGAAGCTGACGAGTTCCAGGTTGGCTCCGCGCCTGGCAGGGCTTCGATGGCACGTCGCTCAACTTTTTTGTTCAAGTCCTTTGCCTGCGGCTTGTCCCGAAGTCGGTGAGGCTCAGCTGCATGGCTTGGATCCAGTGCAGAACTAGGGCCGTGATGGAGGTCAGGGCCGCCAGGGTTGCAGTCGTCACTTCCGCAGCGGCATCATGGCGTAAGTTCTTTAAATTTGTCGTGTTGCACGATGTGGTCTTGAAACACACACCAGGCTAAGCCAAGCAGATGTGTTGTTTGACGAGTCTCCGAGGCCTCCTCTGGCGGCCAGGCACTCAGGCCCAGTGCGGGTACTGTGTTTGAGCCTTCCAGCGGTCTAGTGGAGGCAGGCAAGATGCAGAGGGTGCTTGTAGGCTGCTGAGGTGGCAACTGCAGCATACCCACAGTGGCAGCCTCCACCGCAGCATGTGATGAGGCACGCGGCTGGCGACGGCAAATGTTAGGTGCAGGTGCCGCAGCAGTGCATGTCTGACACAGGCAAAGCGCTTCATCTTCAAAGCTTTAGACACTGTCGTGTCGGACTGCCGGGCGGCACAGTTGAATTATCCGCTTTGAGAAAGCGACGGGCAGGAGCCGAAGGTTCGAGTCCTTTTTGACTTCGATCTGGTTGGAGAGGGTGTCCAGACCTAAGTGATAGTAACTGTTGGTGTCTCACGGTGCCCGCCTCGCGCTCTTGCCACGACAGGTGTGGCACGGTGGTGGCAAGGAGGCCCTGCCGGAAGAGAGCACGGATGAATGGCTGGAGCCTTTCACTGAGCCATTGACACCATCTGCCTGTGTAAGCATCCAGGCACCGGCGAGCTTGTGAGTTTGACCTTTGCCGGATCGCCCACCAGGCTCCGTCCTTCGCACTGCCAGGACGTACGAGCACTTGGTGCCCTGTATCAGGTCGAGAAGGCTCCCCCGGCAGATGTGAACGCTTCCATTCCACGCTTGCTCCTGATGCAGCCTTATGGTGCCCCGAGCCCCCCAAGCAGCCAAAAGTGGTCGGTCCGGTTCGGTCGCCTCGCCAAGCTCGCAGTTTTCTTAGGTACTCCTCACAAGCGTCTCCGACTTCCGGAGGCTCAGAGAGCAGGGCAGCCGGGTCGATCTCAAGAAAACTAAACAATCTGGAGAGTATTTAGAGTGTCTAGATCATCTAGAGGGCTTCTAGGCTGCTATACAACGTACGTATTGGAATGTTTGCAAGCGAGCCCGACATTGTCGCACCATGTTGTACACTCTTAGCGGAGCACGTCCCTAGATCCTGTATGACATTGCTGTTTCACTTGCTTGATGTTGTCACTGTCAGAAAGTGTATAACAGTTCTAGATCCCTTATCAACGATTGCTGAAGGTCTCCGCAGCTTGTGGCACTCCTCTAGAGTTGCGGACCTTCTCGGGTGGTCCAACTAGGAGCGGTGGAATTGGCACAGGTTCCCCGCATGATCTTGCAGCGGCACGAGTGGTACACACAGGCCAGTTGCAGCTCGGAATTGGGCCTTGCAAAAGTTGTGGGAGATTCTGGCATATCCACGCACGTTAGATTGAGAAGATGACGCTGCTGAATCTTCACTCCAAGTCACCTATTGTCGGGCACGCGCCCAAGTATTCCACTTCTGCGAACATCTCTCTTTTTGGATCGGTTGAGGCCCATTCTCCACATCGAGGTTCCTCCTCCGAGCAGCGCTTGGAGGGCTGAGCTCACGGGAGAGACTGTCCTGTGTCCTGTGTCCTGTTGTGTAGTTGGGACGGCTACGAGGCCGGATTTTGACCTCGATGACCCAGAGGCCGCCACGGATCGCCACAGTTCGTGAGAACTTCTGGGATAGCCATGGGCCACTGGAACTGATACAGATTCACAGGCCCTGACAAAACATGTTTTGCCCACGGTCGTGTCTACAAGACATGGGAGTCGGGGGCGCTTGCATCCACTTGCTACCAGCCAGATCCGGAGCAAAGTCGAGCGCGGCGAGGACCTTGGCAAGGCGCACCAGGAGGCAGCTCAAGAGTCAAAGCTTGTTTCCGGCCAAATCAAGGGACTAAACAGGCGCGGTTTCTCTTCCACTCTGTGGGCCTTGTACTGCAGACATTGGTTTTCACCTACGGTGCCTAAACAGAGATGTGTTGTGATGCTTGTGCCTAGTGACCAGTGGTTGCGCAGTGCGTTTTCCCGGTGCAGGATGGATTGCCTGGGGCTCTTCATGGCAGCATGGGGCCACCTGCCTTGTTGGGATGGTTCCATGAGCATTCTGAAACGTGCAGATGCTGCTTCTTGCGGGCCTCCTTGAGCAATTGGCTTCGGCCTAGCTTTGCTTGGTGGTAGAAGCTTTATGTGCGCCTCCGGACACAGCAGGCTGCTCTATGCAGCTATGGCATTCGAGGAGATTCACGGCTTTGCGTGGAGTTGTTTTTGCTTGCTCTGGCTAATTCAGCCCTGATCCAGCATCTACCCGCGCAAGGAGGACATAGTAAATGTGGATTGCTCAGATGAAAGCTAACGTGATTCATCGATACCTAGCCATAAAGCAGTCGACCCGGCATGCTCGCCTAGGTTCGCTTCCATCCCGGTGGTATTTTGCTGGAGGGCATGATGGAGGCCACTTGGGTCTGTGGAGACTTGCGGCCTTCGGCCTTGCTCTTGTCCTGGAACTCGCTTGCAGATGTTCCTCCACTATGGCCCGAAGCTTCGCGCGATCAGTTTGGAGGGGAACGCCGGCTTTGTGACAGAGGAGCCCCGGCAGTCCGGCAAGCATGCGCAAGTACCCTTGCCCGATGGTGTTTGTTCCGGAGTTTTGCATTATGTGAACCCAGGATGCCTGCTTGGAATGGTGTGTAGTTGTGTTGCTGGCACGCAGGACTCGCTGTCGCTCTTGACTTTGGCTGATGACTCGGATGCTTTGCTCCGTGCCGACGTTGCAGACTCCCAGTGGGGACGACGGGACGACGGTAGGCTGGCGACACGGTGAAGACCTTGGACCTGGAGGACTGCGATCTCAACTCGGGGCACTTGGAGGCCGGTGAAGGGGTTTTCTAGATGCCAAAGTGGAAGTACGGCTTCTGCTGCTTTTGCTGCTGCAGGCTGTCCTCCACACCGTGAAGAACTTGAGAGCCTTGCAGATCCTGGACCTCGCAGGTCCGCTTTGGCCTCGCCTAGTCGTCTTTTGCAGGAGAGCCATAGTAATTGCCACAAATGTGCTGCGCTCTTATTGTGATACTGGTTTCGGAGTCCTGGGCTCACCGCAAATCCCCAGGCAACAAGTTTGACGGCCCCACAGCTCTCAACATGGTGGGAGCCCTTTGTGAAAGCAGGATCGACCTTGACATTTTACGCATCTGAGCTGAAATGGACGTCGGTCTCTGTTCTGGTGTTGCGCTTAACTCCTTGGTGTTTTGACCGCCACTGGTGGTGTCGAGGATTGGATGGAAATCCCTTGGGCACACCGGAGGTTTTCAAGAACGAGGTTGCCACGCTGTTGGCCAACCGGGGTGAGTCTGTCATAGCTGGTGGCGACCTTGTGCTGCACCTGGGTCCGAACCTTGGTTACCTTAAGGCAGCTAAGAGCGGAATGGCCACATCATGCGACAGAGGCGACGATGCGGTGCGTTGGTGCCCTGCTCCCCGAGAGGGATCTCTGGCGCGAAGACTGCGTGAGGACTGTGGAAGTGCATTGTTGCACCGAGTCGCAGCCTCTCGCTTCTATTGGCCTGCGAGGAGGGTGGAGACGTGGTTCGCACATCGTCCCTGAAGGCCCAGTCTGCAGACAGAAGCCCAAGCCCAAGTCCAGATCTGCGAGTCTCAGGAGATGGATCGCTTGGTTGCGCAAACAGAGGCGCTGGAGGGCCAGGGCACAGAAAGCTCAGTCGGTGAGTCCTGGAAGGCGCAGATCTTGAAATTCCAGCAGAACGATCCAGCTGCAAAGTCTTCCGGTGGCCGCGACTGGCTGCGCCGACGGCGGCAGCAGAATGCCAAGGTGACCGAGCCCGTCAAAGTTTGCAGGAAGGATGCAGGAAGGAACCAAGACGCCCCAGCTTGCAGACGCAATGTCACGGGACTGCACAGCAAGCATGTCGCTGTACCCTGTCCCACCTGCAGGTTTGGTCTTCGCCTGCTCTGAAGTTTTATCGGAGGCAGCGGGCATGGCTGGCCAATCAGAAAGAATGACGTGCCTGTAGCACTCGTAGTACATCTACTCATTCCTACTGCAACGCATGTGGTCACAGAGTGCAGACTGCAGCAAGGGTGTTAATGAAAGAGCTGCGCGGGATCGCGCCTTGGCTCACTGTACATAGCCTCACGTGGTGCTGCACGCAACTATGGGTCTGCAGCAGGAGGTTCACCTCCCTAAAGCACTTGTCACTTGTTGCAAAGCAACAGACAAAACAAGGCCCCTTCTGCACCGACTTGTCGGATGTCTCGGCTTGAGGAGCAGCTCGCTTCTGCCCTGGCTTACAGGAGAGAAACGCAGCGCTGCCACACAAAACAGTACAGGTGGGTCGTCTCGGTCCCAAGCTAAACGAAGATCGGACAGAGTACAGTGCTAGACAGCGCTAGAGACTCGTGCATCAGAGCCTGCGCTGCGCCTCGTCCCTCGCCTACAGCTGTCTACGGCTTCCGTGATCAAGCCTGGTCCTGAGATTGCTTTGTTGCCACAGCTTGCAAAGCATGTAGCAGAGCCGCCTTGTGGATCCCACAGTCTCTGATTCCTTGAGATGTTTGCGTGCCCGCAGCGTACAGTTTCGGCTCCGCAGCTTTGACGCCAAGCCTCGCTCAGAGAAGGACCGGACATGAACTCGAGAGCATTGCGATTGCTGTTGTGAGCGCTGGCGCGCATCTTGCAGGTTCTGTGGTACCAGTGGTTGTATTTTCTGAGCAACCTACTTTTGATGCAGGGATGGCGCTTCGCGGTGCTTTGCAGCTTTCGCGCCTGCGCATGATGAAGGCATGAAATGAGACGACAGCAGCAAAGGTCTGCAGACGCTGCCATGACTGCCATGTCAGATTGACCTGCCGGAGTTCTCGAAGAGCCGCTTTGCGCGCCGGGTGAACATGATGGAAGAAGTCTGAGGCCAAGAGACATACAACAACACACTATGCATCAGTTGATGAACTTTGAGAAATTGAACTCTCCAAGGACCGGGTCAAGTGGTACAACTGGTGCTTCGCCTGATTAGAGCAGAGCATCGTGCTGCGCCGCAGTCATGGCCACTGTGTTCACGCTGACTGCTGACTGTCGATTCACACCGGGCACATACAAATCTGAAATATGGCTGTTTTGATCTGAGGAACGTTGCCTGCGTGCTGCTCACGGCTGTGCCCTTCGCATGGATGTACACTGTGAACTATCGCACCTCTGAAGAGGCCTGGCTGTGTAGGTGAAGTGCTTGGCTGAATTTGTGCAATGGTATGGAGCCATTGCTGTGACCATCATCTTGGCAAGAGGACCTTCGGCAGTTCAAAGCGTCCTGTTCTCCATCGTTGTCGATTTTCTCCCACTCGCCAAACAACTGGCTGAAATCATGAAGCATCTGTGAATATGAAGCCTTTCAACCACCATCGCTAACTAGATAAACTTCAGACGATTCGAACTGGTGGGTTTTTTGAGCCCAGGCAGCGTGGCTTCCGGGCTTGCTAGAGACATTAAGTCACAGGTAGCAATTCGCGGGACTGCGTGCGACTCGTACTTATCTGCTCGTGGTGTGAACAGGTGGCCATGATCTACAGGACCATGGACCCCATGGGCACGCTGAAGTTCAAGTGCCCTCACGTCTTTTTGGCAACATTTCTGCCGATTTCACAGACATGTGCAATTGCACTGCAAGCACATGCGATTCTGGGGCTCTTTTGCTTGGCGTTGCTGCATTCTGGCGAGGTACGACCTGAAGCTGTTTGGGTAGAGGTATCCAGGCTGTGCCGCAGCATGGCACATTGTGCAATCTTTGCTCGCTGTGAGCTTCACTTGCGCAGGGCAGCCACTGAGATCCGGCTGAGCGACACGGAAGCTGGAAACCGACTGCCTTAACTCCCACAGCTGTGATTTCCCAAAAGGCCAATCGAAATTTGTGGCAGGCATCGGTTTTTTCGCTTGATCAGACAGGTTTTGATGCAAATCTTTTTAAGTCGGCTCGGGTCAAGTCTGCAAGAAACAACTAGGCTTACATACAAGTGCGACCTGAGCTGAGCTATTGATTAGCGGTTGGTGGGAAGCAGAACTTCTGGAAACAGGAAAGGGGACATGCAAAAGACCAGAGGCATAGTGAAAACCAGCCAGGGATTGCCAAGTCCCACTACATATGAAGGAAGGCTGACGGATCGGACTCATTTCGTTTGCGCTTCGTTTGCAGCGGAAGTGCTGGTAGAAAAAGGGCGGCATGTTACAGCACCCTTGCATCATCCTCTGCATAGTCTTGTCCTGGAAACTTGCGCCAGGGCGAAAGCGAGATGTGTTCGATGGAACTCGTCACTGCGTTGGCAAAGCTGACACAGGCGCAATCGAGATCCCACAGACAAATTTCGGCTATTTATGAATCCTCAGGTGATGCCCATTGCCGGAGTACAGTCCATGGAAGAGGAGGACTTGAGCCAAGGTCAATTTCATCAGGTTTTTCATGTGGTCCGAGCATAGGATCTCGAGGGCCCGCCGGGAGCGGAGCAGCTGAAGGCTCGGCTTGAAATTCGGCGACTCGATGTTCCTCTTGTCTTTGCTTTGGGCTCCCCCCCAGGCACGCAGTCTCGGGCTGGGAGATGAGACTCCCTCTTTGAAGCGTGCCTCCCTTCAATGCTGTGTGCCAGCCCGTGGGTTTTGTCTGGCCTCTTTGTGCAGAGCATAAAGCAATGGAGGATAATGAAGGCTTACAGATGACAGCCGCGTATCATGAGTCGGGACGAGGCATCTAGAACTGCACAGCCCGAAACATGTCTATTTTGCATCGTGCTCACGTATCCCTTGCTACTATCGGCAGGAGACTGCACTTTAGCAAGGCGAAAACTCGTGGTGTTTCTATGCAGATTGTCTTAGGGCGAGGGGAATCTGCGAACTGATGCCCATCGACTTGGAGCTGCTGGAGAAGATCGAGAGGCCCGGAATCCCGAAGCCGCGGAAGCCTCGTCCCTCTCGAAACTGCCGACGGCTCCCGGCGGTGCGAGGCAAAGGCGGCGCCTCGAGTGCCCGCAGTGCCCGCAGTGCCCGCGGCGCTGCCGAGTTTCACGGCAGGGCTCTTTTTTGATGGCGGTGATGAGAGCGCGAGTTGCCTGAACCCGCCCCCTGAAGCCCTCTTCCTTGCAGGCTTTTGGCTCTGCAGTGGGATGGCTTTGGGCTCGTAGTGCCTCTTTCGGGGAGGGATGAATGTGGAGCCTCGCTCTCGGCGGTCGGGATCCGGAAGGCTTTTTGGTGAGCAGACTCGCGCCAGGGCCCTGCATCGAATCGGCCAAAGCCAGAGCTCGTCGGATCCACCGAAGCCGGACAGCGTCGTAGAGAGGCGCAGGAGAAAGGAAGCCCTCCAAGCCCGGGTAGGAAAACCTGTCGCGTCGCCTCGGGAATCCGCTCGCATAAAGATGCCTCTGCGCAAGCCGCCACTAGAAGGCGCAGCCAGGGTCAATGCGGACCAAGACGGAGCGCATGGCGGGGTTCCCTCGAGTCTTGGGACCATGGCTTGCCCGAAAAGCCCGAGGAGCCCACGGGGACCAGAGAGCCCGAAGAGGCCAACCCGACCAGGACCAGTGCGGTCAGCAGGCGAGGAGTCCAGCGACCTGCGAAAGCGGGCATTGGTATTGCTTGCCAGCTCCAAGTCTGCTGCAGTGAAAGAGAAGACGGAGACGTTTATACAGAAGCACAAGATTGCCTTCGTGCACCCAGACGGGCCTCCCGACCCAGACACCACGAGACAGTGCGAGGATGAACTTGCTCAGACTGCCACTGCGCCGCCGCAAACAGCGGAGACTGCTCAGCGGTGCTTACCGCTGGATGCGTTCACATTTGTGTGGCTCCAAAGCGTGTTCCAGTGGGGTATTCAGTGCGTCATTGGATGCATGCTGCTGTCCCTCAGATGCTGCCTTGGCAGCATGAACTGCCTGAAGCCTTTCCTTGAGGAGGCCCCAAGAAGGCGCTACCAAGACAAGCAGGCAGTGAGGACTGTGGAGTGACAGCCCGCAACCTTAAGCTCTGTGATTGCTGATTCGCAGCTTGTAGGTCGCACGGCCACGGTGTCTGCTCGAAAGGGTCCGGCCTTGTTGGCTTTACAGGGACACAGAGGGCAATACCGAGTGCGAAAGACAAGGCCAGCAAGATTGTCGTCGGTTGAAGGTCCTGCCATAATCAGGTGCGTGGCATTGGAACATTGAACAAACCACCATCGATTGTCAGCAAGAATTGAGTACATTCCGTCGCTGACCTTGGAGAGGACACGGCCCGAAGCCACGAGGTCTCGGCGACGAGGCGCAGCCAAGGCCAGGCGGCGAGTGGCCCTGTTTCGGACAGACAAACGAAGTCTTTGCACCAGGGCTCCACGAAGGACAGTCTGAGCGAGCAGCTCGACACCCTGGAGGCAAAGATCGCAGCATCAGCTAATCTAGGAGTTTCTCTCGCAGGGAACTAGCAGTCTAGCACATCGTGACTTGAGCGAAGCGGAGAGGCGCTCCTCAGCCGCGAAGCGGCCTCGTTGGTCAGCCTCAAAGCAGAAAAGACCTGAGACGGCAGCGCGGACGCTGAGAATTTGTGCCGGGAGTTGCTATGTTTCACTCGCGCAGGCTCATCTGCGTCAGAGGAAGATAAGAGATGGCGAAATGGTCTCGGCGATAGGGTAGTGCATCGTGACATCGCAGAAGGGTACTGTCCTTTGACATCGGCAGTGAGAACAGTTTTGCTTCGCAATGTGGAGGGAGGGATGCAAGCGCCCTGCCCTCCCCGAAATCTTCGAGGCAGAGGCCGTGCGATGTAAGCATCGGAGAGTCGGTCGTGGGTTGGACGTGATGACTTCCTGCCTTCGTTGCGGTTATCTTTTGTCGATTTTGGTCGTTGCTTTCTGGTTGTATCTACTTGCTTCTGGATTCTCGCTTCCAGCTTGCTGCTTTTTGCTCTTCGCCCGTACTTTGCGCTTAGTCCTGCCACGGGAATGCCGACGCGAGATTTCCCTTTATTGGATAAGTTGGTGGTTAGACTGAGACAGGCGGAGGCACCTAAGGTTCAGCAAGAGACGGTTGCAGGGAAGAAAGGAGTCAGCCAGTGCACTGGGCATCACTGGGCTGTGTCCAGAGAACACTGTGACACTTTCGAAAGAAAGTCGCCTGACTGCCAAAGCTTTGGAACGAGGCGGTAGCTGAATACAAAGGCCACATTTGACCCCCCGCCACCCGGATCTTTCTGATAGGACTTGAGCCGAACACCAACGGAAGTCTACTTCTCTAATCACGTCCAATTGACAGGATTGTTTGAAAGCTTTTAAATCCTGAAAGGCAACACAATGTCGCTGTCATGGCTGCAGTTTGCACGAACCTGGTTTGCATAATAGTCCGAGCACGAGTGCATGGAGCTGGCCGAGAAGATGAGGAGTGGAATAGCATTGCGGGCCGAGGTTTTTTCCAAACCTCGACCCGCAAAGGACGTCAACAACATCATGGATAAGACTTGCTTATATGCAACATGAATTCGACATGAAATCCATGCTTTCATCTTTTACCCATGTGTCGTATGTTGTGATGAGCTGCAGTAGAAGATATTGCAGCCTTTGCCAAAACAGTTTACTTTGGGGCATGTTCTTGTGTTTTTTCTTCGGCATGTTCGGACGTATCGCAAAACCAACTTAGTATGAATCGAGGTGACATCTTTCAATGACTGAATCTGAAGGTAAGCAGGAGCCCCCCGCAGCAGGATAAGATACAAGGTGCGAACAGGCAATTCTGGATGCTGTTGCTGTAGCAATGCCCTCAAAGCCTCAAAGCACAGAACACAGAACATCATGGGCTGCACCAACATGTGCACTCCTGCGAAAGATCGTAAAGGCCGTGGTGGACCTCCTTTTTTGTCCTCCTGGGTTGCCCACCTAGTTACCGGAGTTTCAAAGTATTCACCATGACGAAACTGACCTTAATGAGACGTGGATGATGCCTGCGGCCACAAGTAGCACACTAGGAGCATGCGCTTGCTGCGCAGCACGAATCTTCCGTGAGTCTCCTTGACTCAGCCAACCTTTCTCACAAGTTTGTTGTTGTTCTAGTCCAGACCTAGGCCGTATTTGTGGGGTTACTGGTGCGTGCCTGCATGATGGGCTCTCGGTGGCTGTGACACCCAGCAGAGCTATAGTTTCGGAAGGCTGCCGTGACATGAAAAAAACCTGGCGTCAGTTGGGGTGCAGTCTCGGACCTCCTGGGCCGATCTGCCAGGCCCGCAGAGCAGCCCGGCCCAGGCGGCCCAGGCGACCCAGGCCCAACAGTCGCGCAGTCCGAAAGCAGTCGCGCGTGGTGCGAATTGGCCCAGGTCCAGACGACCTCGACTTCTCGCCAGTCCGAAAGGCCTGGACAGCGGAGACGGCTGGAAGCTCGCGTGTCTTTCTCGTGACAAAGCCAGGGACACCAGGATGGCCCAGATGCGGGGATGTCCTTCGTGACTGGTGTGACAACGCCACCGTCTTCGCTGGACGGCTACTGCAAGATAGATGCAAGCGATAGTTGGTCTTGGCTGAAGGCTACTGAGTACTGAACATGCGGCACCTTCCTAGAGTCCCAGAGCTTCAGATTGGACCTGATTGGAAGGAGCTCACCAGCTTTGTGACCCCAAGCAGCAGGCCTCTTTGGCCCGTGTTGATATGAGACGACTTTGAAATGGCACAGCTTGATGCGGTGCCACGGTAAAGGTCGTCCACTCCACCTCCGCCCTCTCCGGAGGCCACAAGCTCCGAGCAAAAGTTGCTTTGCCGGACACCTGTGGCTCTGGTGGCCAGGAACACGAAGGAGAGATTGAGGAGCTTTCGAACATCGACACTTTCGGGTTAGAGCAGGCCGGCCTGTGCTACCTTGCAGCCTATCAAGCGCCAGCCTTGCGAGTGGGATCCTGAAGCTGTTGCTGCCGGTAGCATCAGCGGTTACTAGCGGCAGATGCAGCCTCCAGGGCAGGCGTGTGTCTCGTGTGCTGTCTGGATCAAGCTTCACCAGGCGGTAGAGCATCCCGGGCCACCACACTCCTCGGTGTCGTGCAGAAAGTGCAGTAGTCGAGATGGGCCTACTCTTCAGCAAGGTCTGGACGCGCATGATCGGATCGAAGGAAATGCGAATCCTGATGTTGGGCCTAGATGCAGCGGGCAAGACCACTATCCTGTACAGACTGAAGCTGTCGGAGGTCGTGACAACGATCCCTACAGTGGGGTTTCTCGGGAGCAGTTTGCTTCTCCGAAGCCCAGGAAGCTTGAAGGAGCTTCCTGGCACCATGACACTGTTTAGGATCACATTTTGCGCAACCAAGGTTCAATGTTGAGACTGTTAAGATTTTTGGCAGCACTGGCAAACTCAGTTGAGCTTGATGCTTGGGCGTCTCCGCGACCGGGATGTTGAGGGTATCGGTTTTCTCATTTTCGATGCTCACCTGCAGCAGAAGGTATCGGAACATCAATCTGACCATCTGGGATGTTGGAGGCGAGGTCCGTCAGTCGTTTTGTACGCACGGGGTTGAGTTGTGTGTGTGTGTGTCTCTGTGTTTTCGCGGTGGCTGCGAACCAACCTACATAGGAACACGAACTCGCTGAATCCTAGCTGGGCGAGACGGGGCATTCAGGGCC